TTACAGAATCCACATATTCCTGCCAGTTTTAATATGTATTTTGTAATCAACAAGTGTGTAACACCGGTCAAAGTTTGACACTTCTCTGGCCATTATCTCCGTAACCGTTCAACTTTGGACATAGGTGTTTTGGGTTATATCGGCATACTTTAACATAAGGAACACCCTCCCGAAGTTTGGTCCATTCCTCCTGGGACATCCTGTATAGAACTGACAATATTTGTTCCAAAAAATGTTTACCATGTTCCTGTAAACTTTGTTATCAACACAGGGACTTCTAAATTTGGTCACATATGTGAACAATCATACCTCTAAAATGGGCAGAGCTATAACTAGACACAAATTTGTCCAGAAGTGTGACTATTTAGGAAGGCATTACTGTAAAATCTGATTTCAAACAAAACATTCATGATGTAACAATTTAAAATGTTTTCCCTTGTCAACTGTCTTTCATCCAATTCTCCATTCACCTACCATCAGAGGCTGGTAAAACCGGGCCATCTGAAGTTTGATATTTAACAACACTTTCAGCATAGAGACTATATAATGTTGATTATAGGGTGATTAATGACTGTGGAAAAATTGGTGGTATGAGAATTGACAGGGGAAACTGAAGCACTCAGAAGAAAAGTGCACCAGTGCCAATATTTCTGCCATAAATCCCACTTGACCTGGGACTGAAACTGGGCTGCTACGGTGGGAAGTTGGTGGCTAACCATCTGAGCCATGGCATGGCCAGAAATGTTATCATAACATTACTTGGGGAGCCATTTTCTGATGCTCTCAGCACCTACACTATGTACCGTCAAATGATAGGATGATAAACAATGTATTTGAAAGGATTTTGAAGGAAGTGGTCATGGCATAACCAAGGTACCACTCCAGAATTTGCCTGGAGGGCTGGAGAAAAATCATAAATACCTCAGTCAGAATAACGACTGCCTTGGCCAAAATTCAACCTGCATATGAGTCTATGCTGTTACTGCTACACCAGCTCAATAATTTTATCTAAAGAGTAACTGCTATGCTAACCCAACAAATCAATGAGAACAACAGTGTAAGCATCAATATACATTTACTGGAAAAAACTACTCTGAAATTTCTTTCATTCACAGCAGAATAAAACATGTTCCAAAGAATGAATTGGTCAAATCTCCTTAAGATAGGAAAAAATATTATTGATAACAATAGACAGAACCAGGAAATAGAAAGATATTGTAGTGGGAAAATCTTATATGAATACTGGATTTGAAGTTCCCACAGCAATGACTATGAACAGTTCTATTTTTGGGAATTTGATGCCATGTATGAAGGCTACTTGGAAAGTAAAATAAAAAGTCTGGAAAATATTTGTAAAGCATTTTTTTTATTCATTTGTACCACTTTTACAATACACCTTTATTTACTTTTCAACATTGTCACAATGGATCACAATGCACTTAGTGAGCCTGGGAATGAGTTTCTTTTTTATTCTAGTGTCACAGAAATCTCCCACCTGCTCTCTTAGCCATGTCATCACTGCGTCTTGAACCTCATCATCATCCGAAAAAGTCTTTCCAGCTAGACTTTCCATCAATTTAGAAAACAAGCGATAGTCACTTGATGCAAGGTCTGGGCTGTGTGGTGGATGGGCCAATACTTCACACTTGAAGGATTGTAACAACTCCTGCGTAGCTCAAGCAGTGAGCAGACATGCGTTATCATGCAGTACGCAGACTGCTCATGTCAGTATTCCCCTCCACTTGTTTTGAATAGCCTAATAGTTTCTTGAGCATCTCACAGTAAGCAGAATCATTTTTGATATCTTCTCAAGGCAAAAAACTGAGAAGTGGCTCCTCCCTGTCCTAGAAGATGGTTGCCATGAGTTTTCAGTCTGATGGTGAGGTTTTGAATTTTTTCATTGTTGGTGAGTGTGTGTGGTGCCATTGCATCGATTTTCGCTTATTCTCAGATGTGTGACGAGATACCCAAGTTTCATCTCCCATCACAATACAGTCCAAAAAGTTGTCACCTTGATCCTTGTAACATGCAAGGAATGCCTGCACCGCAGCCACTCAATTTTTCTTGTGATCATCTGCCAATGGTTAAACATCTGTCAGCATCATCAGTTTTCATTAATTTTCTGGATGATTTCAACAGTGACAATTGATGGCCTTCCACTCCTTATTTCATCATGAACATCAGTTCTTCCTGCTGCAGAGTCACACCACCATTTTGCCACGTTTTGCCTGTTCCTAACATTTTTGCCGTAAACAGAAACAAGTAGGTGATGAAATTCTGCTGCAGTTTCTCCTTTCATGTGAAGAAATGAAATTACTGCACGAACCTCACATTTGGCAGGATTTTTAATAGACATGGCCATTTTAAACACACCCTGCAAGCACAATGTTGCCCTGACTGTGGCCAGTGAACTCTGCCCTGATATACGGTTCCTATCTCACATGGAAACAATGTCATTTCTTAAAAAAAAAATCACATTTTTCCTGGACATGTGCCCTTACTTTTCTAATATCGCTCATAGTCTGGTGAAAGTCAACCGACACCTCAGAAGGGCATATTGCCTTAAATAGAGGCCTGTTTCATACTGGTTTCTTAATTGGCTTACTCTTCAACTGTGAAGATGGAGGTGATATGATCCTCCGAAACATCGGCTAGCTTTCACTGGACTACATGGTTTTATATCCCAGAGGACAGAACTCTTCTTGCATTAATAATCCATAAATATGCTTTCACTGCCTCAATATGAGATCATAGCTTTCTAAATTTTGATGTTACAGTCAAATGTGATACTATGTCATATTTGAACTGAAGGTAATACCTGTAAGCATATTGAACACCTGAGGTATATGGGCTAGGAGCAAGCGCCGCAGTTCTTCCTTGCGTGATACGCTCAGATCTTCCCATGGACAAACCAATTCTTCTGAAGCAGTTTGTAAGAATACCAAGCCCAGCACAGTTGTATCTGGAGTCTGAATTAACTGTCAGTAAATAATGTATTAATTTCTGATGATTATTCTATAGATATTGATCCACAGAGTAAATAAATTAAGAAAAAACATGGGATTGACAACTTCAACTGGAAAATAACAATAACAAAAAGGCATTTTGCAGCCAAGAACCCACATGAAGCAAAACAAGAATAAACAACAAATTACAGACAATACAATTAAATTTATGAGACCAATGGCAAACTACACTTGGATGGACCATAAAAGAAATGCAGCTATATTAAAAGACTTAAAACTGAACCAATGTTGTGTAAAATATCAACATATAGTCAAAGAACCAACTGGATTCAACATGTCGGGAGAATGCAAAGAAATACGGTAGACTTCTGAGCTATTAAACATTAGAAACTGCCTGGATCAAGGAAATGGAGAAAACCTTTGAAGAGACTGCTTGACAAATGAAGTCAGAACAGGCAAACAAGTGACACATCTAGATGGGTGCTTGATAATAATTAACTTCTGATTATACAGAAGTAAGTCTACAGAACATTACCATGAAATCACAAAATAATTTCATAACCATTTATGCACATTTACAGTCAAGGAGATAATGATAACGCATATTAGAATGAAATAAGACATCACCAGGGTGATGAATAAAGGCAGCAAGTTTTAAATTTCTGAAATCTCTAAAAATATTTGCAGATAAATATAAAAATATTGCACATGTAAAGCATTTCCAGAAAATAATTTCAACTTTTTACTACCCAATCACAATGCCCAGTATTAATACCATAAACGTAGACATTAATTCTCACTGAACAAGATTTGCTGATATAAATAATAATTTTAAAATTGTCTGTAACTATAAAAGGGTTAAGAAAGTGAAATATTTCATAAGAGGCAACATTAGACATTCAACAGTGATTCATATAGGCAGGAACACTGAAATGGTCACCCACTTCCCATTATTAGTTTGAAAGAGAATAGGTGGCATAAAAATAACTGTATAAGCTTACAATTAGTCTACAGGAAACTCCTGGAGCTCTGTATATATGTATGGATGTAAACAAACATGCTGCTAAAATTATGAAATATATTTTTCATTTCTTATTTACTGCTTTTACCTGTAAAATATTGCTGAAAAAATCTGGATAAAAATGTGGCCAATCTAATCTTGCAATATCCACCACCAATTTCACCAATTTGTTTCTGATAAAATTAGGTGCTGACTGATGGTGTTCCAATGCAAACTGGTACAATGTAGCCTTAAGATGTGCCCGCTCCTCCCACATCAAGCCCAACCACTGTTTTGTGATCAGTGTCTGAAGACATATACATAACCAATTATCCTGAATTCAAGTTGCAAGACAAAATTAATTAATGAACACTCAAAATGAGCAGAACAGTCACTTAACACACTGAGGACCGGTCGCATGATATCATGATTTTAGGACACATTAGGTTGTAACACACTATACCTTTCTCTGGCGCCACCAAAATGAATGACTACTGTGTAATATTACTCCGGAATGTTTGTTTAGTAGGCAGTAACTTGACCTTGCTGGTTTGGTTCCCCCTCAAAAGGAAAATGATCTTTGACCCTTCAAGCTCTCATGTACCAGGCAGGAAGTTAGTGCAATATGAATCAAGGACAGAAGTGGTTGAAGACCAAGCGATCCTTCGGAGAACAAGAAATATGCGACTTGTTCTCCGATGATCTGATGTGCCTTGTGAGAGTAGTGAAAGTGATTCAGACAGTGGTAGTGACAGGGGACAATAAACAATTGTGGCCACAGACAATAAAAGTGAAAGTAGCTCCCACAAAAGTGCAGGTAGTAACATTGAGGGGACAGCCACATGGGGAAAAGTAGACAAAACGCCTACTTTGGGACAGTTTACTGGAAATCCAGGGGTGAAACAAATTCCATCGGACCCAACGCAAGTGTCTCAAGTAGCAGAACTGTCTTTTAGAGATCGTTTCTTTGACATGTTATGTCAGGAAACTGACAGATACTATCTCCAACACCATGAAGGATATGACAGAAGTTATAAGGTGTTGAAGTGGGTGGATGTCACTTCAGCAGAAATGAATTTTTTTTTTTGCAATAATCATTCTAATGGGGATCCATTTTTAGAAATTCCCATTTTCAGCAAACTAATGAGCCGTAAGAGATTTGAACAAATTTGGTGGTGTTTGCATTTGAATAATAATGAACTGCAACCACAATCAACAAGCAGGCTTTTCAGAATTCAGCCCTTCTTAAACTTTTTCGTTCAGAAATTTCAGACAGTTTATAAGCCAAACCAACAACTGTCTTTGGACAAATCTGTGATTCCTTGGAGGGGAAGGCTTCATATGCGAACATATACTCCTGAGAAACTTACAAAGTATGACCTACTTATTCATGTAGTTAGTGAAAGCACTTCAGGCTATATTGGAAATTTAGAAATTTATTCTGGTGAAGGCAAAAAATTACAAGAAACTATTGTTTCCGTTTTGGAACCCTATCTTGATCAAAATTACCATGTCCATCAAGACAATTATTATAACAGTGTGGTAACTGCAGAATTTTGAGAAAAGTATGTGTTTGTGGAACAATTAGGGTGAGCAGAGGTCTTCCTCCAGATCTGAAAGAGGAATGTAAATCCCTGAAACATGGTGAAACCACATTCAGGAGGAAAGTGGATATTCTTCTTCAGTCCTGGAGGGATGCTCGTGTTGTGAATATGATTTCCACAATTCACAATTCGAGCATGGTTGATGTTCAAAGGAGACATGGACAAGTAAAGAAGCCTATTTGTATTTCTGATTATAATATATTCATGAAGGGAGTTAATAGAGCCGATCAATACATGGCATATTATTCTCTTCCTAGGAAAACAATAAAGTGGACAATGAAAGTTGCCTTGTGGCTTATAAATTGTGCCATTTTCAATTCATTTTTGGTTTACAAAAATCTAAACCCTCATTCAAAATTGAAATACAAAGCATTTCTGATGAATGTGGCAAACGCCTGGGCTACAGACCAGATGGTGGCGGCAGAACCAGAGTCACACACAGACTTAATGCGACCAGATCCATCAACTCTCACCTCATGCAGGCCTCATGTGGACCCCCTTGGGCAACTCTCAGGTGATATGCGGAAACATACCCTCTTGAAAATTGTGAAGAGTGAACATTCCAAGGGGAAGCATCCTTCTAGGCAATGCCATGTTTGCGCAGTTCACAGAATAATGAGTATGACTGCCTACATTTGCAAGTGTGTAATGTCACTTCACAAAGGGGAATGTTTCCAGAAATATCACACTCTCAAGCACTTCTAGGAGGACTGGTAAGTGTTCTACAAAAATTTTCGTTCATAAAATTAATTAGGAGATTTTATATTAATTTTTAAAGTGAACAGTGCACAAGTTAGGGTACTGGGTTTTAAAATGCCGGTCCCCAGGGTGATTTAAATATTTAAACTGCCGGTCCTCAATGTGTTAACTGGTATTTAACTTGTTTAATAAGGCTACACATAACTGGTATGCAGTATGCAGTAGCATAGTTGGTTGAGGCACTATGCTACAAGCTGGAAGGTCATGGGTTCAAATCTTGATGAGGTCACTGGATTTTTCAAATGACCTAACCCTTCCAGCTGCACTATGGCCTTCGGGTTGATTCTGCCTCTGACAGACCTTAGTACCATTCATTCACTTATTCCTTCATTTATTTACATTCCATGGATCCTTACATGGGTGGAAGACCAGGGGATATAGAAATAGTCAAAGACAACAAGACGTGTCCCATCAGTTACATAAATAAGAATTAATTCTACATAATCCATCACAATTACACATGTTATCCAAGACAAATCACAATGAGTAAATCATTAAAGAGTTATAAAATATATGTAAAAGCAGGGGGCACACGGTAGCGTAGTTGTTTGAGGCACTATGCTTCCAGCCAGAAGGTCATGGGTTAAAGTCCCAATGAGGTGGATTTTTTCAATTGATCTAATCCTTCCAGCTGCACTATGGCCCTGGGGTTGACTCAATTTCATAACAGAAATGAGTACCGGGGAGTAAAGGGTGCCAGCATGTAAGACTGACAACCTTACTGCCATCTGTAAATCAACTGTCTAGATAATGTGGGACCCCCAACATCTCACAACCCTATGGGCCTTCACAGCCTGTTATAGAGATAGCTTATGTAAAAGCATGCAACATACTACTATGAAACAAGACTACAATAATCAAATATAAAAATATACTACTCGGCATCAGCGTATAACAGACCAAGATTGTTAATTAATATTGAAGTTAAAACATTCTTCAAATGAGTAGAATGAAGTTATAAGTAGAAATCTTTTTAAAGCAAATTTAAACTGTTTCATGTCATTAGCTAACTAAAAACCTTGATTCCAAAATAGTATGTCCTTTTTGAAATACTGTTAAATTAAATATTGGATAATGGAAATTCTTATTGTGTCCTGTCTTAATGCTACGAATCTCAGAGTTAGATTAAAATTGTTCTCTATTTTTAACCATAAATAAGAGGAAAATACTATGTACTGTGATTGGAGGGGTAAAATTTTCAGTTTCTTAACCCTCTCACTGCTAGTATGTTAAGTAACTCTCAGTACTCTATGTGCTGAATTATTTTTGAATAAATCTTTTATAAATAATTTAAGTGCAAAGTATGAAAATTTGTGATAAAATGTAACTACTCTTACCTCAGACAGGGAACAGGCATCAGAAGTTGCAAAAATGTTGAATTATTCAGTATTTTTCACAGGGGAAAAGTCCATTTAAATCAGCGTTGTCCAAGGTGGCCAAAAAAGTACATAATTTACTACCCTAGTCTTATCACTATGTCACATCTTGACCTAAGTCCACAACTTTATTTAAAACTATAGGACGCCATGTTTTTCAGAGATTGATATATGTCGACCACAGCAGTGTAAGGGTTAAACAATTCCCTGCAAGAGTCTCCACTTCTAGAATTAGTAACAATTCTAATTGCCCTTTTCTGTAGCCTAAAAATATGAATACTATTGGAAGAATTGTCCCAGAAAATTATACCGTAAGTCATAACAGAATGAAAATATGAGAAATAAATCATTCTTATTGTTTCCTGTGACATACAAGGTTGAAAAGCCCTGACTGCATAACAGGCTGAACCTAATTTAGACATAAGCCAGTCGACATGTTCTTTCCTTGACAACATATTGTCAATAATTAATCCAAGAAATCTGATATTAGTAGATTTAGCAATCTGATTGTTACCATAGTCAATATACTACATATCCACTGAACAGCTATTCTTAGCCAAAAATTGTATAAAATATGCTTTATCAAAGTTTAGTGTCAATGAATTAGCTTGAAACCAATCATGTATTCATAATCTCTGTTTTATTATTTATTAGAAGACTTTTTTGTCTCGGATAAATTCTGTTTTGGGTTTGAAACCTTCTTTCATATATTTGATTCGACCAAAGGCATTTTTGGTTTTGTTATTTTTGACGTCTTCTTCCATTTGCAGTAATTGCTCATTTAGAAAGGCCTGTTTCTTTTTCTTGCAAATCTTGTCTGCTTTCCTTCTTGCTTCTTTATACACCTCATTTCTTGCTCTTGTTGGTCTTTCCATATATTCCATATATTTCTTATTCTTGAGGTCTATACTCTCCCTACATTCCCTGTAGAACCATTTTCTATTATCCTGTTTCTCTTGATATCCCAGAGTCCTCTCAGCTTCTGTAATTATTGCGGTTTTAAAATCTACCCATATCCCTTCTACCATTACTTCTTTATTTGCTCTATTGTCATTAAGTTCTTTCATTTTATTTTGAAATGCTTCTCTCTTATCACTGTCCATAATCTTGTCAATATTAAATTTCTTACATTTCTCATACTGCTTAGATCTTTGACAACTTATTTTACATATATATTTGACCTGTACTAAATAATGATCACTATCACAGTTGGCCCCTCTTAATGTTCTTATGTCCAGGATATTCGTCGCAAATCACTTCTCTATGAGGACATGATCTATTTTATTGAAGGTTACCCCATCCGGTGCTGCCCATGTTCTTTTATGTATATTTTTGTGCAGGAAGTATGTAGAGCTGATGATCAAGTTCTTATTTTCTGCAAAATCACAAATATAAATCACTCCGTCCAATGTGACCTGTAAGTTTTTTACTACATGAAAACTTAACAGTTAAGTTTTCATGTAGTAAAGGGTGTTAAGTTTTCATGTAGTAAAAAGGGTGTTAAGTTTTCATGTAGTAAAGAGGGTGCTAAGTATTCATATAGTAAAAAACTTACAGGTCACATTGGACGGAGTGATTTATATTTGTAATTGTTAGTGTGACGGACCAGAATGAAACCAATCAAATTCTGCAAAATCTATTAATTTTATTCCATTATGGTTGGTTGTATCATGTAAACTTTCTGTCCCAATTACTCCTCTGTATTCCTTCTCTTTACCTATTTTGGTGTTAAGATCCCCTAAAACAACCTTCATGTCATTACTTGGAATTGAATCATATGTCTCTTCCATTTGTTGATAGAAAGAGTCTTTGACCTCCTCTTCTTTTTCTTCNGTCAGCCAAACAGAGTGGAAGCTTCTTCACAGAAAAGCTGACCCAACATTCCTCTGTGCGGGCAGATCACTGCTTCTGTAGCTCTCAAGGAAGTGTGACGTGTTTAGTGAGTGTCTGAATTATCAGCTTGTGAGTCAGTGGCGGACTGTTTCTCTGGGGAAGCCAAGATTTTTCATTGAGTCATCTGGAACTGAACATTGACAACACTGTCCGGCCAGCCAGATAGAAACAATAACTTCCTGTTTGTTCGCTAAGCGAGAGACTGAACCAGATTGTCTACCAGCGTATGAGAAGTGAGGTCTGTGTGACCTTCACAACGCGCTGAAGCAAACTCTGCCTCTCCGCGCTCCCGCACGCAGTATCTATAGTAGCGTAAACTTACACGACGCAACGAGTTGAAACTCGTGTACAGTCTGACCAAACATTTTGGTGTATAGTGTCAATGTATTTTGGATATAACGACGTCTCAAATTTGAAGAAAAACTTATGGGTAAGTCTTTTGGAATTTCATTACACATATAATAGAGAGTATATTTTGAATTTCATGACATAACAATTACAGTTAATTTTTATATGTAAAAATTGTCATAGGTATATTGTAGGAAATTTCATTCTCTTTCAGGCGGTTTTTAGTTCGTATTTCTAAGCTGCATAGAACGGAAAATATGTAGTTTTTTCTGAAAGTCTACAATATTAAAAGGGCAACGTCAAATTAACTCCGGCAGCAGCGCAGTCGTGGGGGGTTTAAATGCCGGCTCTTAAAGGATAAGTCCATGATTCCTTTACCCAGCCATCTAATTTCCTGTATGGCTGTGATTTTCATATTGTACTTATCTATCTGTTCTAGTACTGATTTCATGGCACCAAGTTTATTGAGGGTTTTCACATTCCATGTAACTAGAGAGTAGTCCATATTCTTTGCCAATTGTCGTCTTCCATTCTGTTGAGGTTTCCGAGGCTTGATTCCAGGTTTCGAGACATTTATATTTTTTACGGTGAGAGGTCATCAGCCCCTCACCCAAAACCCAAAATGGAGGACCAGGGTATCTCTTTTAGTCTGAGTCATCCCCTTCGCCTGTCCAGCATGGGTGGCCCTACCAGTAGCTATGCTACTGCCGACACAGTTCTCAGGGTCATTTGACCACACAAGCCCCTCCACTACGTCAAAGTAGAGACACCATCAGGGGGCTGTTACAGGAATAGCTTTACCTTTATAATTAATACTCACTATAAATATGCAGGGCCAAGAATTTATTTCTTTTTCTGGTGAGAATTTAACTTAATACAAAGGAAATCTGCTTCATTTTATTAATGACTACAAGTGAAATATGTCACTAAATACAGTTCCAGTACAATTTCCAATCATAATTTATGAGAAATCAGAAATGGAATTCTTAATAGGAGTTGGAGTATAACATTTGTTAACAGATTTCAAAAAGAAATACGATGGCTTAGCCACTTCAAAAAGAACTGATACATTAAGAATGCCAAGAAGGCCACTAGAATTAACATTTAAAGGCAAGAAATGTATGGGATGACCTGGCACAAGATAGTTCAGATGATACCAAACAACATCAAGAAGAGTGGAAAGGGCTTTCAAGAAATCAAGGAAGGATTGTGGAAATGTCTTTACATGTCTTTAGCGTTACTGCCTGGCCGAGCCATATAGTTGCAATGTGTACAAAACAAAAACAACACTAGGGGAACAATAAATCATATGAAAGGCAAATATATATAAGCAAAGAGATGTACATGAACTTGCACAATTTTAAAAGAATGCTGTTTTGATTCTACACATCCATTCAGCTTAGGAATACTTTCATTAGAACAAATTAATTAGGTATCCAATATGAGTGAGAAGCATTAGAAATTCTTACCTCAATAGTTGTTAAGCTATACATACACACATACTGGTTTGTAGAATGTGACATGAAATTTAGGCAGTGCTTCCACGCACCTCGCTGGCTACTAAAGTTGTGCAAAACACCTTCTATTTCTTTCTTCCTTTCATTGCTCGTGCCAGGGGCAAAGAATTCATTCATTAAAGCCTCTAAGGCCACCAATGATTCCACATCGCTTGCCTAGTAATATGATATCAAAATATAAACAACAATGTACTGTATCATTTTTCAAATGAGTTAAATGTACTATGGCACATACATGTCTTACAGTTATCTCCATCAGTCTTCAAAACTTATAATTTAAACCAATTTAATATTACCACCCACCACAACACTAAGTGATGCTTTTTCGTGTGGCACACACTACATTATCCAGTATTTAGTATTCACATTCCTTGGCCAGTGAAGAATTTTTATTTATTCACACTCTAAAATGCAGCAGACATCACCAGCATTTCAGAGAAACTTACTGTTTCCAAATTCACAGTTCAGAAGAGAGACCCCACCCTGCAGATAGAGGCAATAGATTCCTCTGTAACATTGGCACCTTTCTACAAGTGCACAGTCTCACATCCCAAACGGCAATAATCTTCAAATTTACCACCATGAGAACATCAAATCTCAAATAGTTGACTAATGTTTTCCCCATCCTGAACTAATGGAAACATGTTGGATTTGAGGTTCCTAAGGCAGAGACTATCAAAAGTACAGTCTTCTGGATTGTAACAGTGTGCAGAGTCCAGCATTTCTGAGCAACATGTGACCTCCACGTAAGCCTAAAAGCCAAGCAAGAAACCAGCAGAAGCAGGCAGCAAGCTACTAACGTTCACAATGGAAACATCTTTCTGATGTTCAACCTTATTACGTATATAATATTTCTGATTATTTCCCCAGTATTTCAGTAAAATGTACCTTAGCAATTCCCTCACTAGATTCAACTAAATTATATTCCTCACATCAGCTTCAGTAGCCCAAACAATTTAAAATTATCTTCTGCATAAATGTGCAATGACTGTTTAGTTTATGCATCTATAAGAATAAGCAATTTAAGAACCAAGACAAACTAGATGAAAAAAGTTAACCCCCCCCATGTGTAACTGTTATGAACAGCTTGCATTGGGTACTGCATATATTGTTAGGGTCTCCAACAAGATTTACCTCTTTCATGTTAGTTATCTGCATCAAAATAGATCTTATTATAATATTATCTTATCATACAAGTTCTTGTTGAAAATCATTAACTTTGCTGGTAGTGTCATGTTCATGCAATGGGCTACAACTCTCATTAATCACTCAGATATGAAATTAGATCCGGCAGGTACTTGGGTATATGAGCAGGCTCCAAAACGAAAATTCTTTTAAAAACTTGGAAAAAGTAATACAACTATAGGTCTACCTCAATCAGACCTGCATTTCTAACCTAAATTACATATTCCTGATAAACCGCATTAAACACCGAAATATCTTTCAAACCAAACAAAATGTAACAAACACGGTGAATAAAAAATGTTTTACAAATTATTACATGACCAAACTTTAGACTGCTTACAATTCCAGCTAACATTTAAAGTAATTTATATTATTGAGTAGTTTAAATTGCATTTGCTGCTGTTATGAAAACCAGAATTATAATCTTTTATGTTATACAATACGTTCAGCAGAAGGTGTGAAAACTCCGTAATAGCATTGCGTGAATTTCATGATAAGCAATATGCACAAAATTATTAACAAATAACATTCATAGCTCCACACCAGGCACATTATTAAGCCATGTGCATGTCTGTACAAAGATAAATTTTACATACCATGGTAAGCGGTGCACAAATTTACGTCCACATTAAAATTCTACCGTCTTCTACACATTCAACATACTAAATGATTCTGAAATACAATAAATACATTTAATTCGCTGACACGTCCCTTTTGCCATTTTTCATTTGAATGCGCGAGATTTTGAGCTAAAGCTGAGAGGGGTGAAAGCGGGTGTGAACATGTAATTTCACAGAACAAATGACTGCTCCAATGCCTGCGCGCTCGATGTGAAATATTACTGCCATCTACAAGAGCAAGATTGCACTGATGTTACAGCCACCTACATAATTACATTTTTACCTTACATATGGATCCATAATAGGCATGCATTTATAGCATAAAACATAACCTCCTCTTACCAGCGGCATATTTAGAGTAAACAAACTTGAAACAAACTCATCAATCACACATTACATTTCCAGAGCAAGCACATAAACTATATAAAATATTTAAGACTTTTATTTATATTTGTATACGAAAAACAAGAAAATGTTGATAAATAATGTAGAAGTACATTGAATTTATTACAAAAGAGGGGCAGGATTCCCCAAATACAAAATCCGCCATTAATTTCACATGGAACTCAGTACCTGAATACAGCAATGCAAGCCATCTGGAACTGAACCTCAGGCTCCACAGACAGAAGCCAGCGCCTAATTGCACGAATTATTACAGTGAAATGAGAAATAGTAACTCTAGGCAAATTTATAGCTTCCTCCTTCCCTTATTCATATTTTATATCATGTATACTTACATTACCCGATTATTAACTCGGAGAACAATGGACATAGCAAACATTACAATCACTTAGAATATATCACAATATTTACTGTCAGCCTGGTGTTAGCTTTTTAGTGTTTGTGGTATGAAATTATGTGACAAAACCTCCCCACCTTGAAGACTAAAATTGCACCCCGATATTTTGTGTGAGACTCACCTCACAAAGATACACAACTCGTTTGGACCACAAAGAAACTATATTTAGCTTTCTGTATGATAGCAACTAAGGAAGAAAACAGCGTGAAGCAGGTAGCAAGCAGAGCTTTCTCTCTGCTTCACACTGGTTTCTTGCTTGGCTTATTCTTCGACCCTGAAGATGGAGATGGCATGTTCCTCCAAAACACTTGTTGACTTTCAATGAACTACATGGTATTATATCCCTTATGATGGAACTCAATTGGTGGATTTTACACTATATTTGCACATATTATCTTTATGGATTCTGAGTTCATTCGAGATGCTGCTTTAACTGTAGCAATATTACAGCATCTACTGTGATGGGTAGATTCTACTGAATGGTTAAGTATGTAAAGAAAGCAGCCACACTGTGCTGCAAGGAACTCTTCAAGCACCATAAGGCTTAATTTAAGGTGACTAGTAACGTGACTAAGATTCAAACTAGATACCTTATGAATAGAAGTTTAGGACATTAACGCTACACAACCTGGTCAGTGAGACTGAAGTTCAATTTAGCTGAAACCACTTCCTAGATTCTTTCATACTGGCATTGACAAAGGTTTATGCTCACTTCCATGCTTATTTGAAGTATGGTTTAATTTTCTGGGGTAGCGACCCAAAAAGTAAAATTATACTTAAATTGCAGAAACGAATTGTTAGAATAATCAGTGGTGTGAGTAGATTAGCTTCATGGAGACAACTTTTTAAGGATTTAAACTTACTTCCACTACCTTGTATGTATATATTTGGAATAGTATGCCATGTTAAACTACATTTAGAAAAGTTAGAACAAAATAACATAGTTCATAATCACAATACATGCCAGAAGTTAAATCTCCATGCTCAGTTTTGCAGAACAAATGCCTATAAGAAAGGAGTACTGAACATGGGAATAAAATTATACAATAAAAAGGGGGGTTTTTATTTTTAATTATAGAAATTGAACTATTGTATGTTTAATGTGTATGAAACGTTTTCCTATGACAGTGATTTGATGAGGAAGGAAGAATGGATTGGTTGATTGATTGATGTGAAATGGATTGAATTGGTTAATCTGTTGAGGAATTTATGTTGTCTTAAATTTTTAATATAGTTTTATATGGTATGTTGGACATGTACACAATTTGTGTATGTAGTTAAATATTATAATATTGTTGACTCTTATACAAATAATTTGACTTGTTCTATATCTGGAGGCTGTATTGCAAAATGAGGATTTCTGGAACCAATAAAAATATGAATATGAAAGGTTCACTGTAAGGAAACATTGTCACACAAGTGAGGACAAAAGGATACAGCATGAAAGCTGAAAATTGGGATAGCAGAACCAGAGAAGACATCTATTGCTAGCCAATGGCTCTGTGAACACATTCCCACAGCAACAAATACATGTATGACAATGGAGGATTTGCTTATGAACAGACACAATAGAGAAGCCATGAAGACAGAAAATTCTAAAGGGTTCTGATGACGGTGTACAATACTTAGAATTACCAAGTTTTTGAACTTTGTCCATTGTCCAGTATTCCACAAACTACAGAACACAACGTTTTGGAAACTGAATCTGTTTCTGTCCTCAGGTGAGGAGACATCTACTCTGTTGGGTCCCTTAGGAAGAGCTAACCTCTCTATTGATGTGAGCTCTTTCTGAGGACGGAAACAGATCCAGTTTCTGAAATGTTGCATTCTCTAGTTTTTAAGACTGCTGGATCATGGCCAAAGTCCAAAACCCTGCTAATTCTGAGAATGGAGACAGTGTTTTCTATTGTTGTGTGTCACATATTTAGTGACCAGATATGGGGTTTGGATTGGTAATTGGATTTATTGGACTCTCACAAACCATAACTAAAAGTAACTATAACAGCGCCATGAATGTATACACTTTACAATTCACAATGGTATGCACTAAGTATTCTAAACTTCACTATGTGCTGCCTGGTAATGGCTCCCAACAGTGCCCTCTGCTTCCCGTGCAAAAGGCTTTACTGGTCATCGACTGACTCAAAAGTAAACTTCACTCCACCTTTCATGACTGTGAATCCTGGATATTGACTCCTAGATGAGTCGGTCACCACTGGTTATCATCTGTCTGCTTACAGACTGCTCTGGCTTGTCCAGCTAGCCTCGACATGAACCACTGTCTCCATGGTTTCTTTATTGTTGTGTGTCTATTCTCCAATTCCTTCACTGCTGTGTGAGTATTTGTTGCCGCAATATCAATACTGACATGTGTTAGGGTTTTCTGCGATTATTAGATGGGGTTTGGATTGGATTTACTGCATTTATACACCAAACTTGCAATTACAAGTGACACTGTGCTATCGCTGATCTATACACTTGACAGTTCACCGTTACACACACACACACTAGGGTTCTCAGTCTTCAGTAGTCATTTCCTGGAAATGGATTCCAACACAGCAATTATACCAGTCTCACTGTAACTGCAGCACACATGAAGTCTTCTTTTCACAGCCTAATTCCTTTCTTGCCATCTCTTCTCAGTCATCTTCAACTGCCTACATAAGAGACTCTCTCAATTCTATTTCAGCTGGCCTGGGTTCCTCGTTATATAGTCTCTGGGTGGATCCAACAGAAAACACCATTTCCATTGTTATGGCTCAACAATATATCGATTGTTTCTTGTTTATTCATTGCTGCAGGAACCTGCTTACCGAGTCACTGCCAAGCAATCAACATCTACTCTGACTCCACTGTTCTGGCTTTCAGGTGTCACACCACAATATCAGTCATACATACACTATTAGGTTACTGAAGTTCTGCTATAAAATAAATATATTACACACATTTACATATGTTTATCAAACGGTATATTTACCAAGAACTTACAGTTCAGTCACTTATCATGTACACACAGTTTAAATCAAACACACATTTATCATGAAACATATCTTATGTTTATAAAATGGCATAGGTAGGAATATTAAAATGGATCTCGAAGCAATAAGTTACAAGGAACGGACTTGGTTCATCAGACTCAGGACGTGGACCAGAGATGGGCTGTTGTGAATGTGGTAATGCAGATTAAATCCTCTATTGACTCGTAAAATCTCTGTGATGAAGATGCAAGTATATTAAATCAAACTGTGGAAAACTGGACGGTCCTTCTCCCTCCAAAAGGCTGATCCTGAATGTGCTGAGCTCCCAGGCAATGAAGACAGTCCAGCTGGTTTTTGTGATACTACAATAGCTGCATCCAACAGGTGTTCACAGTCACTAGAGGAAATAAAAAACAATGTCACATTTCAACCAAAAACTGAGTTCAATAACCTACAACCCAGAAGAAAGAAACACAAGTTGCTGTCTTAAAAATTATTGCCATACAAACTGAATAGGAACGAACAACTCTGCTACATTTGCTGATAAATATTTTAATTCTTTTGTCACTTCCAGAATTACTGAAACATCACCAAATATTCTGGCTCATAGTATTCAAAATAACAGGACTGAAAATAATGTGATGTCATGTAATCTGGTTGAAGTTCACTGATGTTCCTCTGAATTATCAGTTAACTTCTATCGGAATACATGGTATTACAACTTAGGCAATACTAGCATACCCAGTTATAAGAACATCAAATTTCATACAAAAAATAATAAAAACTCTTGAGATTTGAGGTCCTCACAGCAATGAATATTATGGTCATGGACTTCTGAGATGTAGAGCAGTTTGACAAACAGCAACAATGTTCTTTGGTTCAAGTCCAGCTGGATATCCACAGAAAGAAGGCTTGTACTCATTTTGTTCCGAAATTTGAGAAGTTCCAGATGGCCTGGCATGATCAGCTGCAACCATAGTTTCTAATCAACCCCTGGCAACTAGGAATCCACTGGTGCCCTTGGCTACACTGTGGGCTTGTAATTTGAGAAAAATGACTCTGAGCTCTTCTGCTGAAGAAAAGGTAGGAATTAGAAACTGTACCTTCTGCAGAAAACAAAGCTTCTTATTAACCCTTAGATGGAGAGAGAACAGTTGCAACAAATACTAACATTTCAGAAGAACCAGTTCCTCCATCATCAAGGTAGTATCCTGTATATTGTGGCAAGTCTGCTGAAAGCCATAACTGTGAAGCCTGCAGAGACAGCCATTGCTAGGGAATGGCTCTGCAAACATGTCTGTTGCTAGGCAATGGCCACAACAGACATGCACACCACAAAAGAGGAGTTGGTGGAAGTGGTGTTCCCTGCACAATCCGTGCCGAGTCCATCTAACAAGGGTCAGCTGCCACTACCAGTCAGTTTGAGTAAAGTCAAGAGAAGAGCCCTGAGATGGCAGTTACAAGACTAGGAAGTTGCTGTGAGATGGCTGCCAACCTGGGATTCAGTTAGTCAGTCAGTGAGTCAAATGAAGGTCTGCACACAGTCAGCTGAGAGTTGCAGCTGTGAGAAGTGGAAAGCTGGTACCTGAGGCCAGGGACAGTTGGGAACCCAAAGAAAGGGAAACATCCACCATTGGAAGCCATTACCATGCAACAGCTAGTGAAGGCCATGATTGAGAACACTAATTTGTGTGTGACAGTGATCTGTAGAGTGCAGTCATGAGTTGTGTGTTAAAGCATCCAATAAATCCAATTACCAATCGAAACCCCATCTACTGTCACTCAATCAAGTGACAATATGTAATCTTAGTCATAACTTGTTTTAAGTGAATGTTCATAACATCATAACTGATTAGTATTTCCTGTATTAAAAAGTCATACCTAGTTCTTAACGTAGACCACAGTAGTAGAAACCGGAACATACTGCATTTTTACCTCTGGCTAGTGTCACGGGGGCGATATACTATACCCCTGCTCTTCATTTCTCTAACAACACCAGGAGGGAGCCGTCCAGACACAGAGATAGCATATACGCCCTTTGTAAATCGATCTGCAAATGTTAAGATACCAGCACATCACACTTGGTAATTTAAATCAACAGTTGTGCCATACTTCAAACTAGAACCTGTTCTATGCATAACAATGTGAGATAAGGGCCTGGGTGTAATACCGTAAAAGGGTGATCCCCAGGAAACGTCACAAAATTATCACTGCACTAATTTTATAAATGTGAAGAGAAGGCATTACCTGGATTCAGCTACCTGATGATAGGGTCCAGTGATGGGTTGTTGTTAACAAGGTAATAAACTTTTTAGTTCCACAAAAATTGGCAATATTTTGAATAACTCTGTAAGTACTAGCGTCTCAAAGACTCTGCCCCATGCAGTTAGTTAACCAATTTAACATTCGGTTTTGTATCCAGAATTTACTATGGACAGAATTACTTTTTGGCTTTGCCTACATGTAGAAAACAACTGAGGCTATTAATATAACGCTTGCTCAAATTTTAACATGAAGTTATAAGTGTAAAATATGATGTAAACTGTTTATAAGAGTTGTTTAAACAAAATCTGTTTTCTGCTATAGCCCTTCAGTACTTTCTTGAGGGAGACAAACATGGCCAAATACACTAATGGCTTTTGTCTGAACATCCCTCACAAATGCATGAGTTGAAGCATCATTTCAAACCTTCCTTTCTTTCAAAAACAGAACTTTTAAGCATTATCAGAATGTGGAACATGGTAAGAATGGGGATGTGATGTCATAACATGTGATGCACATTCCTATTACTGTACATGTCAGTTTCCTTGAACTCTCAGAGGTCTACAGGGCAGTACGTGTATGTTCCATCATTCCACAGTCTGACTGAAAACGTGCTTTGTTAATGTCTGTAGAGAGAATATGGAGCTTAGGGTGGATGTTTTCTGTTTGGTGTATATCTACTGCACAATGCTGTGTCGCTTGACAAACTAGACCTAATTCCTTTCAGCTGTACAGATAAGGAATGCAGGGCTCAGGAAAAGCAATGCAGACAGTGCTAAGCCCAGACAAAGCCCATTCTGTTACTAAGAACTTACTAATTCTCTGCCACTTGCAGACCCAACTGTCCTCTGGGCTCATCGCTGCAATCATCCTGAAACCACACAAGGCACAGCAAATATAAATCACTAACATAGGCATAGTATCATGTCACAAAACTACACTTCATTCTAATATTAGAAGACCAATATATTTAAATGCTCCTTTTACATGCAACATTTGACTACATTACTCATGGTAGAGGGCCATGCCACAATTCAGCTGGTTAGATGTTGGCTTCTCACCATGAAGCCTTAGACTAAATCCCAGCTGACTACATGTGAGGTCCGTGGTGGATAAAGTCACATTGAGGCAGGATTTCCTTCATATTTTTTTTTGGTCTTACACTGACAATCAACCATTGTTCCATACCCATCTATCACTAACTGCATAAGCTACGCAAAAGTTCAGAACTGGGAGTACATCATCACATCCTTGGTCATTATGTTGGAGGCTTCATCTGTGGCCCAACACTTGGCTGGTTACAGAGTAAAGAATTTAATTTGTAGTAGAAGTCTGCTGCCTTTATTACATAATAGTCTAATTGGGCTGACAAGGCTTTCAAAGAAGTATTCTTCCAAATTATGACAGCCTAGTAATCAGCGGGTAGAGTTTTCATTTTGGTAGGCGTAAGACTTTTGTCTTTTCCAAAGTATCCAGACAGGCTCTGGGGCCCACCCAGCCTCCTATCCAATGGATATCTGGGGTGACAACCAAGGTCTGAAGCTGACCACTAATGCCAAAGTCAACAATAGTGGAGCTATACCTCTACTCCCCCATAAGTCTTCATGGCATAGTACTTACTTAATAAAGCACAGGTAAAACTTTACGTTTTTACTACTACTTATCTAATACTTCTACTTGGACTTCGAAGGTGGAAAAGTATGTTACTCCCAAATATCTGTAAGCATCTATCAGGCTACACAGAGTCACATCTCAGAAGACAGTAATCTTAAACTAACAATTCCAGTCATAAAGAAAAGAACGTACCCATCGAAGTTGGAACTGGTACAATCATACACATTATCTCTATTATTCTTCATACGAAGAAACTCGTCGCAGTTATCACATCCATCATATTCGAACTGATCAAAAGTCTGAAATAACGAGATAACATGTTGACAAAGCCTTGCAGTACTTGAAATGTTAAAAAATAATTGGATCCGTGATAGTCTGAAACTTAAATTTTACTTACCTTAATCAAAGAACACACCAAACACGCTCTCAAGCCTCGTAAATCTTTTGGAATTGTGTCCATTGACATTTTTTGGCCTGCGTCTACAACGTAAGCCTACAATGACAAATATCCAATCCTAACGCCAACAATGACTCCTATAACACATGCGGCCTATCTGGTTCTATTATCAAACACGGATCTGTAACTATGCAGCAGCCAATTTCGGCCACGGATTATAGCCACTCTGCCTTCTTTATGTATGATAGTAACCAAGCTTCGCTATATAGCATAAATGGAGCAAACTAAAATAATACCACAAGTAGTGCAGAAGGAAACATTTCATACCCAGCAACGATTTATTTTGTGTCCCGTAACAGAATGTATAACAAAAATCCCAATTTGAACAAGTGCAGTCATTTCACAACACACTTCTATGCTTCTGCTTATCATTTACTCTGTGCGGTAGACAGCATAGCCAATACAGGAAACCAAATCACCCTATGGACCCTATGGATGGACAGTTTCGCGTTTTGGGGCGTGGCGAAAGAAATCGTGATACGGCAGTTACATTAAGAAGGGCCCTTTTACGAGTATAATTAAATATGAAACATCATATGTCGTATTTCAAAAATTTTAGTTCCATAAAGTTTGGTTTTTATCTCCCATGTAGGTTCACTGCCACAGACTGGTGTACTGTTGGTTGACGCTAATAAAACAAGAATGAAAGAATTTCTGTAATTGAAGTAACGAATGTTGCATTATTTTTTGTTCTACTGACATACCTTACCAATATCCCGGCATTTCTGTACCTCAAAAGTATATGTATCTATTCGCGATGTGCCCACTCTGTATGCACGTGTAGAATGTAACGCCGTATGGTTAAGTTGGTTGTTACCGTTGTTACCAAGAGTTACGAGACAGCTTCATCTCCAGGTTATGACTATACTCGGCTTTACCCTGAAGTTGCAAGCACTGCGACCCACCTGAAACGTCGGTAACAATCAACCAGACCACTGAATCACAACTCAGATAACAGAAATCTTCATAATCACCATAGAGAAAACCACAAATCTTGCAATTAAAAGTAAGAATTCAAAATTCATAATTTATTTACATTCATAGACTGTTACACTAGTAAGTTTAAGCCATCTAAAACAGTATTACTTAACAACTCTTAAAAATGTACAAAATTATATACAAGACTACAAACAATACAATCATCTTAGGATCATTGTCTTCCTGCTGAAGCTAGCAACTGAGGATGACATCCCCCAACAATCCAATATAAAGCAATGCATAAACTTTAAAAAAAAAATATAGAGCTATCCCTGTAACAGGCCGTGAAGGCCCATAGGTTGTGAGACGAGGGTCCCACATTATCTGGACAGTTGGCTCAAAGATGGCAGTAGGGTTGTCAGCCTCACGCACCGGCCACGCTTTACTCCGCAGGAAAATTATTTAATTAATTCCAGGAACTAATTTCTGTTAGAGGCTGAGTCGACGCCAGCTCCATAGTGTGGCCGGAAGGATTAGGTCAATTGAAAAAATCCAGTGACCTCATCGGGACTTGAACCCTCGACCTTCCAGCTTGTAGCATAGTGCCTCAACCAACTATGCTTTGTACCAACTATATACAACCACACCACATTAGAACCAACACAAGCCACCAAACTACCGTCCTTCATTGTTATTAAAAACAGTTGTGTAATAGATAACGTTTTAATTTTATTTTTAAAAGCTTTAAAATTTTCTATTCTTTTTAATTCAGGGGGCAAGCTGTTATGTATTTTAATTCCCATGTTAATTGCACTTATTTAGCAGCAAACAGTGTTGCATGTTTGTACATACAAATCCTGTTTTCCTTTAGTGTTATACTTGTGAATGTCAGAATAATGAGTAGTGTAGATCTTGTTCCTTTTTAAAAAGCATAAGATCTCATTCATTCATTCATTCATTCATTTATTGTATATTCTATAAATCCATATACATAGATATAGAACCAGTCACATAGTTAATATAGTACAATACAATTATAAATATATATGTACAGCTTATAATCATTATAATAGACAAAAAAACATGTGTTAAATTTACAGTCTTACATCATTATACATAAAATTATGCAATATTAAAATTGTTTATGTTATTATCCTTATTTCTAGGCAAATTTGTTACTAAAGAATTCATCACATGTATAAAAAGAGTTTTTCAATAAAAATGTTGTCAACTGAATTTTAAATTTTTTTAAGTCATTAGACATAGATTTGATTTTTGGTGGCAAATGATTAAAGATCTTTACCCCGATGTAACATATTCCTTTTTGGAATTGTGTTATCCTAGTTTGCGGATAATGCAGATCACAGATAGATCTGGTACTACAATTATGCATTTGTGAGTTAAATGTGAATAATTCCTTATTTACTATAACTAACAGGGAAATCGACAATATACGATGGGGCACCCAAAAGAAACCGAACTAATTTTTTTGTGGGCAGAGCTTTTGTAGTACTGCGTTTTGCCGCTGTGAGCGCATAGAGCTAACATTCCTGAGTCGATAAGCTGACTACCGTTGCTTCAGAAGGTAAGGACTAGTTTTGGCAGAGTTTATAGTGACAACTGTTTTGTGTGATCGTCGTTTTTGCAATGGCTGATTTTCTTGCGGCGATGAAATTCTGCTTTTTGCTCGGGAAAAGTGGAACAGAAACTCTTGAAATGTTAAAAAACGGCGTACAAGGGCGATGCTGTGGGGAAAACTCCAGTGTTTGAGTGGTTTTCCCGTTTCAAAAATGGTGAAATGTCAATTGATGACAAACCTCGTTCTGGTCGTCCTTCCACGGCCTGAACACATGAAAATGTTGAAAAAATTCGTGAAATCATCAAGGAAGATCGACAACGGACCATTGAAGAAATTGTGAAGCAGTCGGGTGACTGGTTTTTCCATCATGACAATGCCCCTGCTCACACAGCCCTGTCTGTACGACAGTTCTTGACCAAAAATAGTATGACCCCTATTCCTCACCCTCCATACTCACCCGACCTTGCCCCGTGCGACTTTTTTTTGTTTCCTCGAATGAAAAGAGACATGAAAGGAAAGCGTTTTGCTGATGTTGCTGAGGTGAAGGAAAAAATGACGGAGGCGCTGTCAAGCATCTCAAAAGATGAATTTAGACAATGTTTTGAAAAATGGAATAAAAGACTAGACAAGTGTATTAGTGTAAGTGGAGAGTACTTTGAAGGGGATTGAAGGTTTGTGCTTAAAATTTGAATAAATAAGTTTAAAAAAAAATAAGTTCAGTTTCTTTTGGGTACCCCCTCGTATATTGAGCTTGTAGTGGGAGGATATCCAATTCTTGAAACAAACTACGACACGATGTTCTCTTTGTTGTATTTGTTATAATCCTAATTATCCTTTTCTGCATCCTAAACACTTTTATACTATGCGGGGAGTTACCCCAGAATATTAATCCATATGTTATTATTGAATGTACATAGGAAAAATACATCATTTTTAATGTCTCCAGTGGTAAAAAGGATTTAACTGATCGGATTGCAAAACAGGGTCTGTTTACCTTATCAATTACTGCATCAATATGACTTTCCTACGTTAAAAAATTTTCAATTTTTAATCCCAGAAATGATATATTAGAAATACTTGGAATATATAAAAAAGTTATTGTTAAAATCTTAATTTCACCAAACAGACTTCCAGTGGTCGCCCTGTTTTTCACTCCTTTAATGAGCCTTAGACATTTTTTTTTTTGTAGTTTGAAGACTGAATTACTGTTATTTAATCCCTCCCCCCACAAGAAATAATAGCAGATTTCAGTATAGATTCAAATTTAGTAAAATAAACACTTCTTAGTACTGGTAAACTTACTGAGTCTCATATGGATTTAATCAAATAAAGAGCTTTGTTTAATTTATGGCAGATATATATGAATGGCCCAGCTTAAGTTATCTGTGACATAAATACCTACAAATTTTTGATGTGATGAATAAGTTATTTCATTATTTTTAGATACAGAATTGATCCATAAGTTAAACTAGATCCTCTTCCCTGAAATAGTATTGCTTTAATCTTTTCAGTATTTATCATAAGATTATTAGGAACCAGTTTTCTAATTGTTTCATGACTTTTACTGACTTTTCTTTTAACAATGGGAGGTTTTTCTCTGTGAGTAATATGTTTGTGTCATCGGCAAATAACACCACCTTACAGAACTATAAGGTTTATTTTGGACTCCATCCATCGTCTGGTATATATAAAACAAAAAATCACATTTCCAACACGACCACCTTAGCTTCTTGAACTGCTTGGGGCAAATCGTTTATAAACAACAAGAACAGAAGGGGTCCCAAAACAGAACCCTGAGGAACACCATATTTTATTTCCTTACATGATGAAGCAAACAGCTTTATATTTGCAGTCTTTTGATCTAAATGCTGTACTTCTACAAATTGAGTTCTACCAGTAAGATATGAATTCATCCATGAGTGTATTGTTCCTCTAAGTCCTTAGAGTTCCAATTTGGCAAGCAGTAATTTATGATTCATTACATCAGAGGCTTTAGTTAAATCTGAAAATATGCACATAACTAACAGTTATAAGGCATGGGGTCCCACAGTGGTCCATTGCTCTTTTTCTTTATATTAATGACCTGCCAAAATCAATAAATGTTAAAGCTGAATTTGTTGTCTTTGCAAATGATACCAGTATAATTATTACTGGCCTTAACCTGATAAAATTTAAAAATAATGTTAATAAAGTTTTCCAAGATATAAATAGATGGTTTACTACTAACTTATTGTCATTAAATGTTGATAAGACTCAATTTATGTAATTCGTAACTAAGACTGGTTCTTTACTTGCTTTAAATATGATGCATGGGAACAAGAAAATAGTTAATATTTGTAATACAAAATTTCTTGGATTAACATTGGACAATACTTTCTCTTGAGAGATTCACATAGATACAGTCATACCTAAACTAAGTTCAGCTTGTTATGCAATTAGAACAATTAAGCCTTTCTTGTCCCAGGAATCATCGAAGATGGCGTATTATCCTAATTTTCACTCTATTATGACTTATGGACTAATGTTTTTGGGAAATTCTCATTATCACAACATAATTTTTAAACTACAAAAAAAGAACTACTATTACAATTATCATGGTGACTAGGGATAGAGACTCACGCAGAAAATATTTTAGAGAACTAAAATTCACCACATATATTCATTTTTACTCTTTGTGATTAATGACAGTATTCTTATGTTCCCATTCATTTCATATGTTGGACGAGCATTTTAAATACAAGATGAACTAAACTTTTTATATTGCGGTTCATATGGTATATTGCGTAAAAGACTTTCAATTGGTATTTGTATATGTATTTTTAAGGAATGAGCATAATGAGGTATTAATGTCTAGTTAATGAATTGTACATGTTGGTTAAATTATTGAATTGTATAATTATTGTCCCTTTTATGAATGTGGCTGTAAGAGGACTAGTTTCTGTTCTCAGAACTAATGTATGTAAATTGTGACAGGTTCTATATCCGATGGCTTTGATAGCCAGTAAGGATTAATGGAAATGAAAATAAAGATACAAGATACAAGCTATCAGCTAACACATCATCTTCCATGAATGCAGTTGACTTCAAATATTTCATTGAATTATGTGGTGTACCGAAAATTAACATACAGGAATCCAATGAGATAATCCCTCCTCACTCAAATAAAGGTCACACTTGTGAACCTGGTTGCAAAATCTTTTAGTTCCGTGAAAGTTTTTAAATTTCATGACCCCCTTCACAGGACAGAGTCTGATATAGGGAGATAAGTTACTTTTCCTTGCATACTGCAGTTCAAAGGGAAAGGATGTACAGTAGAGTTTGGGTCTGAACTCTGAAGCTCTGTGTAGTGAGGTTCAGGAAAGAGTGAAGAGACAGAGAGACTGATAGTTGAAGAGGACAGTCTTTTGGGCAGTAACACCATGTAGTTCTGAGACAGAGGCCACATGTTCCTCTAAAACATTGGGCTCTATCCAAATTGCACAATGTTGCAACCTAGAAGACTTTTACTATTGATGGTCAGAGCTGTGAATTCCTCAAATCTCAGATGAGAGTTGACCAGAGAGACTAGCTGCAGAGGCAATCAGCAAGTGTCCAACTAACATTCACATTACTGTTTCTGCGTCACTTCTGGGGTATTTTGGCTGGGACTGAAATTGTACTCTTCTTTCAATCCTTTATGTCCTGCTTCTTAACGCATCCTACATTAAATTATTGTCTTCTGGGATGTGATGCTGTATAGTATGGGAGATTTTTACTGATGTTTCTGAGAAACATGCTACCTGCATCATCTACTTTGAGGATGGAGATAGCACATTGCTCTGAAACATCAGTAAACATCTACCAGGTTACAGAGCATCACATTCCAGAAGACAGCCATCTTCAAAATGAAATTTGTTTCAGAGTGCATATTAAGTATCAGATTTCATCACTGAAATGGAGACCTGGTTAGTTTTGTTAACATTTTGTACTATATTACACACAACTGTATGTGGAATTTTATATCCACGAGAATCTGAGAGTCGAGAAGTAGTTCCGCTGGATGGTATCTGGAAGTTTTGTACATCCCCAGCTGAAGATCAGGAGAAAGGGTTTAGAAACAAATGGTTTTCCACAGATTTAGAAGAGGTAAGTAGTGAAGATAGGTTGGCAAACTATAAATATGAAAAGTTACAACTTCTTGCAGATTACTAAGAAATAGTCTCCTGATCATGAGTACAAATTATGGATTGAGAGGACACATTAACAGTTCCACTGCAGGCCTATTCATAAATGTCCTTTCAGGGCCACCTTTCTTTTTTCTCTTCTTTTCTGCCACTTTTATTGTTTGTTTTTTTTTTTCCCACTTTCCTTCCTCCTATTTTTCTTTTCATCCCTTTCATGATGCTTTATTCCTTTGAAAATGTTTTCTGTCACCTCTATTCCTCTTAGGTTTTCTTTTTCCCCTGCTGGAGGTAAAAAAGCCCATTTTAGAGCACTGATTCCCATTAGCCCGCTCATAGCCCAGTCCCAAGTCTGCCTTCCTTTTGTTATGTGCTGTTTTCCCCATTCAACCCAGTTATTATACCCTGAAGACTGAGGCAGTAGATTCCTCTGAAACATTTGCTCCTGTCTACCAAACTATACATTGCTACATACCAGAACAATTATAATATTGGTCTCAACGAATGTCTGCTAGATATAAGACATTCTGTATACACCTATACAGCAGTTAAGCATCATACATTTACATAAATGAAACCTGCCATTTTAAAGGTATCCTCGAAGGTGCATTTACATACATGGTGCGTTCCGTATATAATGCCTCCTATTTTTTTGTGTTAATATGTAACATCTGAGCTGGATGTTGGTGGTGTTGTAGTAAAGGTTGAACCTTCCTGCCAATTTGGTTGTCGTGCGACAGATAGCGACAGCAGAGCAGTCTACCAAAATGGCATCTGACATAGAAGTGTGTATGAAAGAAAAATGTGTTATTGAATTTCTCACTGCCAAACAAATTGTACCCATTGACATCCATCAACACTTGCTAAAGGTGTATGGAGACAATACAGTGGATGTCAGCACAGTGATTCGGTGGGTAGTGCGTTTCAACAGTGGCGAAAGTGAAGTGCACGACAAGCCATGCCATGGGTGTCCCTGCTCAGCTGCCACTCCTCACAATGAACAGCGCCTCATCTGAACAGATCAGCAGATAACGACCGGGGACTGTCAATTCTGAACACTAAAAGATGACGCTGACTAAGCTGAAAGCCTGTATTTCCCGAGTCAGGCCAGAGAGGCAGACAACCTTTTGCTTGCAACACGATAACGCTAGACCCTATACCAGTTTGGCGACCACCGCGCACATTGCAAGGTTTGACTGGACTGTCCTACCACATCCACCTTATAGCCCCGATTTAGCACCTTCAGACTTCCATCTCTTTGGGCCTATGAAACACAGACTACGTAGGCAACATTTTCCAGACGACGATGCTGTCATTGCAGCTGTAAGAAAGTGGCTAGCCTCTGCTGGCGCAGACTTTTACGGCCATAACATACAGGCTCTTGTTCATCGATGGCAAAAGTGCATAACGAATGGTGGTGATTATGTGGAAAAATAGCTGTAAGTAGCTGAAATCTTGCTCTATTTAACTGCGTTATTATGATTTCTGTATCTGTTGTAGTTTTCTTTAAAATAAATAGGAGGCATTATATATGGAACACCCTTAGTATTTATGTATTTTTCATGTGAGTTCTGTACATGGACATACTTCTCACTCCTATAAAGAATATCGACAAGTGAGTCAAGGGAAATATCACACATGACTACAGTACTGTTACCAGTTCATATGAATCAATGTATGCAAATATTTTGCAGTGGATACCAATGCCCGTCCCATCCAGTTATAATGATATAACTGTTAATTCTGTAGTACGTGATTTTATTGGTTGGACATGGTATCAACGTCAGTTCTATACTCCTAAGCGCTGGTGGCTAGATAAGCAGCGTGTGGTGCTACGATTTGGAAGCGTTCATTATACAGCCATAGTGGTAAGTTGTTTTCCTTAATACATGAAGAGACTGATATACAGTGAAAACCGATTCAGTGTTCCTGGGTTTGAGGTTTCTGCATATTTGAAATTCAGTATAAATATTCACAGGTAAGTTATCTTAGTATTAAATTACACCCATTTGAAGTTTTCCTCAGTTTAGTGTTCAAATCCACTCATCCATCAAAGAAACTTTAAATGAGAGTTTCACTGTAATAAAATGCTATTATTCATAATTAACATGAGATTCAAATTATTGTAACTACTGATTTCTAATAAGATCAGTCAGTTAATGATCTTATTTCTTGTAGACCTATGATCTTACATGTTATCAAAAATTTAATTTGCAGCTTGGTATATAAGGCTTTCCAGGAAAGACCATTAAAATCATACTTCATGTGAAAGTATGTAAAAATCTGAACATAGCTATTGAATGTATGAGGGGTAAGCCTTCTCAGCCCTTGCACCGTGACCTACAGTGGTCTATTGTGCTTCACATTTAAACACCAGACTCCTGAAATGGTGGTAATCTTGAGCTGGCTGGAGTTTATTTAAATGCCCGCTGCTGGTGCACCATTAAATGCCCGTTGCTACTCTGCATTTAAATGTCCGTTCTTGTTAGGACACTTAAACAATTTAAGCATTGTGTTTAAAAATGCTGTATCTAACTCAATTTTTATAATAAATGGACGGAATTTACATTGTTTATATCAGCAAAGAACATAGTGTTGCATATTGTAATGGAAGATTTGAAAATTTTTATATAAAATATTATACTCTGTTTTCAATTTTTTTCTTTTAATTTTGATGTGTACTGCAAAAATGGTTTTCCAGTTCTACACAGAGTTGTTCTGAATTATAATTTCATTTCTGTTTGTAACACTTGACAAATTTTAGCAGTCCCTGGTGTCATAAAACAGATGGAAGCAATAAAATCATTTGGTCTTCTGCTAGCACTGCTTACACTCTTCGGATTTTCGAATCTTTTGACTGAAGGACAGAAGAATGAAAGAATGGTTATTCAAGAGAAAGATAGAGGGGGTCCTTTCTTCAGTGCTAAGACCTTCCGTTATAGCTGCAAGAGATTAGTTCCCTTAGTGACGTTTGCATCATGGCTGAGATACAGATTGCGATCTGTTTTCTGTGCGTTCATAGTGAAATTGAATACTGTAGTTTCATTTCAACCTATATATACATCAAGCAGATAAAAACAAAGTATGTACATCTAATTTTACTCTGTATTTTTAACACATTAATCTGCAGAATCTGTAATAAAAGTACTGGCTCATGGATGAGTTTGGGCATAACTCATACGTATATTCTTTTTGCTGTTGTTCACACAGGTATCATTTTAATTCCTCTATTATGGTTTTATTCACATCTGTCTGGTAATTACTGAATTTAAAAATAAATATTTAGGACTGTTCATGCGCTTCTACTAGTGGCGTTTGCACATGCTTCCACTAGCGGTGTTTAAATGCCCAACTGGCCAAAACAGGGTACTTTGACCACGATGACCATACTCATCACTGGCCCAAACGGGGCACTTCGGCACTTAAAGGTTAACATAGCTATTAATTACTGCATGAATTTATGTAATATTCTGGAATGCTGATGTTGTGACTAATGAATACAGCTATTGAATATACTCAATACTGGTAGTAAGGACATGATAGTAATAAATGTCACTTATGCCTATTTTAATGTCCACAAGCATTGGTATGGGTGAGATGGGGACAAGTTAGACTTTTGCAAGAAAGAAGGGAAATTACCAAATATATATAAAAAAATTATAATTATTTTTAAATGTGATGCCATCTGTTTTAATGTAGAGATCCAAAACTCTGGAGTGATCAATGGAAGTATTCTTAAATGACTTGAACATAAGTCAGCAAATTTTCATTTTCTGGCTACCTCTGTCCACTTAGAAAAACTCACAGTGGCAATCATAATTAATATCTGTGAAACTGAAGATTGCTGCCTCCTGACATGTGACACTGTAATTTATTAGGTAAATAACAATCTAATAAACTGTATAGCATCACATTCCAGAAGACTGTAATATTCATATTCACCAGTGTCAGAACATAGATCTGAAATCTGTGAAAATAATATTTCAGTGGGTAAATGGTAAGAAAGCATGCAAGCATTCTGGTGGACATCTGCCATTTGAAGCTGACATTACGACATTGCTTTTTTATGGTACTGCCAACCTTGTGACTGTGGCCGTGAACAGTACTTTGACCCTCAGTACTCTTCCACAGGGTTACGTTCAGCATCCCAATGATACAAGAAGGTACCATTATTTTTGTAATTAGTATAATACATATTTGTAAGTAATGTGTATGTACATCCTTAGAATTTTAATATCCCTTTTCAGACTTTTTGTTCCATCCGTCTGGCCTGCAAGATTATGGTCTTGTGCATTGTGACACCATGTAGTTGTTTTGGGCAGGTACCATCATTTTGGAGGAACCTGCTGCCTGCATCTCCAGAAGTAAAGTGTATGGGTTCAGGAATAGGCTTAGTTATGTACAGAAGTTACAAGGAGAGTGGTCATGTGACCCAGAGAGAGGGGTTAAAGAAAGGTACGTAGTTCTAATCAATGGGAAGAGCTGGACAAAAGTGGACAACACACAGACCTTATAAGAGGTGTATCATCACCTATGGAGGAAACAGACTAGTAAAACAGAATGGACCTATCCAGAGATGCGTTGTTTTCAGAAGGAAAGTTGAATTGGGGGCAAAAGGCCTTTTTCAAGGCTGCTATAAGTTTTTCTCACAGGTGGGAAATTTGAATTGGAGAAGTTAGAAAAACTACAGGAGAATTTAGAAAAACTACAGTCTAAACAGTCATTGTCATGAAAATCTAAAAACTTACATCTGGCCTTTATTTTTGTATATAACATTTCCCTGGATAAGTAACATGAATAAGATTTAGAAATAAAGCTAGGTTAGTCAGGTTGATTTTTGGTAGTTGCACTATGTGGATGTGGTCAGTGTTTCCAGTGCTACAGAGGTACATGTTACCTCCATCTTCAGGGTCAAAGCATGCACATCTGAAAGTTGGCAACATTGCCCACATCACACGGTTTGAAGATCCAATAGGAGAAACAACATCAATAAGGAACTATTGTAAAAGTCTAAAAGAAGTGAGGCAGGGAGCTATACTTTCACTCTCCCCCCAATACTTTTTCATGTCAGTTTGTTTAATTACGTGCAAGGATACTTTTACCATTATGTTGTTTAAATATTCATATATAATGTGTGTGTGTATATATGTACACATATATAATATTCATATGATAGATTCAGAATAAATATCTAAAGCTTTGACATTAAAGGCCCAGCCTTCACTCTGTCATTCCAGTTCTTGAAAGCATTTAATTTCATAGGGATCATATGTATTTCTTATTTGTTTAGGTATCCACCTGGTTATGCACTATTCCACTATGACTTTGACTTCTTCAATTATGCTGGTATCCACAGGCCTGTTTATTTATATACCACTCCTCAGACATACATAGATGATATAACAGTTACAACTGATATACATGAAGATGTTGGTAAGTCATAGATCCTACATATACCTGCATGTTCTTTGAAGACTTGATTGTTTTGGTATTGAATGCTGCATTACTGCATTAACTTCCAAGATTGTCCACAGTGAGTCCAGAAGAGGTCTGAATGCTTAGGGTAACTACTTGGGTTAGGGATTAAATGTAGAACATCCTAGCCAAAGCAAAAATATAGCTCAGCTAATATAGTGCCTAGGCTACTGGCTGGAGACCAAGAAATCAGGGATTGATTCCTGGCAATGTATCCAGACTCACTCTAGGGCCCATCCAGTCTCCTATCCAATGGGTATGGGTGGCTCTCTTCTCAAGGGTGAAGCAGCCAGGGCATGAAACTGACCACTTCCCTCCACCTAGTGTCAAAGTTAATAATGTGTGCAGCTATACCTCCATTCCCTGTATGTATTCATGATGTGGTGCTTAATTAATAACAAGGACAACTTTACCTCACATTAGATAGAGCCTTTCATAATGATGCCTTATGCTGTCTTTCGTAGGGAAAAATATACCTTTATCCAAGTGAAAAACAACTGGAAAGTGGAGCTGATTGCTTGCACCTATCTAGGATAGAGACTCAGAATGTGTAGAACTTTATCACCACTTCACCACTCTCCTATATGCTTTCATTGCACAGTGCTTAGGAACAGACATAACTGTACCTTATCCTTACCAAGTCAGCATTAGGTGGTACATGTATGTGTTTAAACAATTGGGAACAAAAACTGCATTGTCTTGTGAGATTTGAGATTCTCACAGCAGTGAGTATTGTGATGCCTTCTGGAATATGAGTTCATGTATTTTGGTAGATAGATCCAGATATTTTGGAGTAACCTGCTGTTTCTGTCTACCCTGAAGATAGAAGCAGCAGCTTGCTTTGAAATATTGGTGCCTATGTATGGAACTACAGGGGGCATGTGGTAGCATAGTTGGTTGAGGCACTATCCTACAAGCTGGAAGGCCACGAGATCGAATCCCAATATGGTGGATTTTTCAATTTACCTAATCCTTCCAGCCGCACTATGGCCCTTGCATTGACTCATCCTCTAACAGAAATGAGTAGCAGGAATATTTTGGGGGGTAAAGGGCGGCCGGCGTGTAGGGCTGACAACCTTGCCGCCATCTGTGAGTCAATTGTCTACAAAATGTGGGAACCTCAACATCTCACAACCCTATGGGCCTCCACGGCCTGTTACAAGGATACCTTTACTTTACTTACTTATGTATGGAACTACATAACTAGGGCTGATGCCATGGCACAGGCAAACCAAGCACCTACATTTTGCAATCCCCTTATTTTTTACTTCATCTTCAGTGTTTTAGTCAGTATCCAGGGATTTTATGTTATGAAGTGTGTTGAAGATGGAGAAAAATGAGTTGTATTTAACTAAGCAGAAGGCAGGGATGGAATTTCATGTTACCTGGAGTGGCATTTAGGCTTATACAAGACATCTCATCACTGAGACCATTTTATATATACATATATATATATATAGCCTTTTTGTGTAACTACTCTATGTTCATTTCTAGGCATTGTGAAGTATACAGTGGAATATCAGAACAAACTAAGGGACCCTTCTTCAGTGCCTCAGTGCACTGTTACTGTGTTTGCCAAAGATGGAACAAAAGTAACTTCAGTTACAGGAGTCAGTGGGAAAGTACATATTCCTAAAGCCAATTTTTGGTGGCCATACCTCACAAACCCAAGTCCTGGATACCTTTATACACTTGAGGTAAGTTCAGAAAGCATTAATTAAAAACATTATGTTCCTATATTAGATACCAGTTTTCTAACAGTGTTCTATATGAACTGTTTGCAGGCTTCATGAAAAATTTCCACAACATAAGCTAAATACCTTTCACTGACACATCAGTGCAGTGTTTTTTTCTTTGTCCAAACAGGACAAAAATTGAATAAGAAAATACCGTTTTCTGATTTCCCTGTTCCTTGTCAGAACGTTGGCAGTATTTCAAGGAATCTGCCATTTCCATTCTCTACCAGTGCTGGTAATTTCTTACCAAATTTTATGGCATCACAGCACCTCAAGATAATAAATGTCATAAAAACGACTTCAATTAATGGACTCCAGTGCCAGCTCTCAGTCCTTTATATATGTATTGTGGTTACTTGTGAATTATGACTGTTAATCAGGATATTATCTTTTTGCCTCGTATTGTCGTATGTGTTAGATAGCTAATGTGGGTGATCTTCGTTGTGTGGCTTGTGTGACTTTGTGTATGTGTTTGGTGACTATTTCTACATCCTGGGTCTGTTGCCTGTATGGATGTTTATGGAAAGTGGAGGATGTGTGTGTATGTATGTATATATATGATGAGTCCTGTATCAATGTATTTTGATTTGTGGGAAAATGAACTACAGAAAGAAAGAAGGAAAGATAGTTGGTCATAAGTGTGTAAATTTGTAATGCATTTAATTTAGTTAATTTGGGTAATTTGAGTGAAATTGTATTAATTTTAAGTTTTTATAGTCATGTTCTTTTTAAATTATGTTTATTGATTATAATTGTAATAAGTTCCCCCCCCTCCTATGTTGGTTGACTAGTGTGTGTGATTTAGGTTGTGTGACTTATGTAATTTCTTATATGTATACATCTATTATCAAAGGGACTATTTCCACATCCTAGGTTTTTTGCCTGTATGGATATATGGAAAATAAAGAAAATGAATGAATGAATGAATGAATATATGGCATAATATATTTTATAGAGAGATATGGATACTGTTACAAAAATATTCCCAGCCAAAGTATTTGCAAAGGCAAAGTCTTTATATTAAATCAGCAAAAATTGTGCATTAAAAGAGTTCTGAGAATATTGGAATTAGATTTTATATGAAAGTGCCACCTGGTATAAAATAAACACTGAAAAGCCACATTTTGAAAAGGTAATTAAAATGACTGTTGTTTTAATCTTCCTTTTTTATATACTAGAATATACAAGTACATAAAAGGCAAATGAAAATAGTTTTACAGATTATGTATCTGACTGAATGTTAACATCTCAAGAAGGACTCTGTTCCATGAATTAATTAGTTACCAGTATATTTTAAGATATATTCGACATGAGAAATCTGAATGGAGAAAGAAGATTTCAGGCACATATAGGCCAGCCATGAATATTCTATCCATGCCATAAGTGCTACAGCTCTTCTGAAGAAATTACTCATACAGTCCTGTTGTAATGTGATAGCTGTGTTCTTGAAAAATCACTTTATAAAGATTCAGTAGAAACTTCTTCTCCCCACACCACATGTTAACAATCATTGTCTAGTTTCCATATGTTCAGTGACATATCCTTGCCATGAATATTGTGTTCCATAGTACTTTTATCATATTATATCAGAAGTAAAAAGAACTCATATTAGAGAAAAACTAATTACCTTATAAGTTGCTTTTATTTCTAGATTTGTCTGACCTCTGAAATCGGTAAAGATGTTTACAGATTACCAGTTGGTGTTAGGAAGATTGCATGGAATTCCACTACTTTTTTCATCAACAATATGCCCACATATTTTCGGGGATTTGGAAAACATGAAGATTCAAATGTGAGTCCAGTTGCTTCAAAATAGCTTCAGTCTATTATTCTGAGACTCAAGACCATTTGCCATACTGTGTAGAATCTTTCATTTTCACAGCTACGAGGTAAAGGATTAGACTATGCTTTGCTAATTCGAGATTACAACCTCATTGCCTGGTTGGGAGCCAATGCTTATAGGACTTCACATTATCCTTATGCAGAAGAGGCTCTGGACATGGCCGATGCTCTTGGAATAATGATCATTGATGAGAGTCCTGCCTGTACAATTGAGTAAGTGAAGTACATTCCCAGAATAGGAATTCTGATTTTGTTAAACAAAAACTTTAGGGATCAATGTTACCAAACTTTAGATTAATACCACACANTGGGAACCTCCCACATGAAGGTCAGATGTCAAACTGTGTGGTGTTATATGTAATCATACAACTGCCGTCATGAATGCAACAATATATTTGGTTGTAGTTCTTTGTATTTTCTTCCTCTACCCTACATCTTTCGGCCGTAACTGGCCATCATCAGGTGTATTTTTCACTATGTAGCTGTCACAATGCACACAATCCAAAATGTAAAACACCAGCCTGTCAGTTTTGTTTAAAATCTTGCCAACATACGCTTGTCAATTTGATTTTAGAATTCCAGTTTAAAATTAAAAAATTAAAGTGTTAAATCACAGGGATACCTGCTCTGTGTCNTAGCGAATTTTATTTCACATTCGCTCATACAATCACCCAAATTACAGATTTACGATTACTGCTATCTGCAGTATCACAATTAGTACACTCCAAATGCCACAATACAACTGACTGGCTGACTGTCACAGTACAACTCCCGACTGTTACTTTATAACTGACTGTGAATAGCCTTCGCTGCTCCTTATGTAGCCTTGATCGGACCATACGGAAAACGGCCACGTAATAAGCACCCTTGTTGCCTGGCGCTGTGTTGCTAGTAACGCTAGCGGTAGTAACCGCTGTTACTACCGTAACAAACCTGTTGCGTCACCGTTACGTTACCGTGCGGAGGAGGGGGAGGGGAGCACTGACTCACCCGCCGCGTCACTGCTGGTGGGGGGTTTCTCCTTTGCGCAACATGTCACACTGCTCCCTCCTTAAGGCTGTTCGTCCCGAATAGCCTAACGGTGCATCCCTGTTCCTTTTCCTCGGTGGCTGTTCTTGCAGTGTTTCCTGTTTTTTCAGCTACTCTTCTTGCAGCGACTATTCTTTGTTCGTCACATTCGCTCCCTTCTTAAGAAACTGGAAACAAGAAATAACCGCTGCAGCACATGTAGACACAGAGCAGGTATCCCTGTGATTTAAAACTTTAATTTTTTAATTTTAAATTAAAAAAAAATGTTCAATTTTAAACTGGAATTCTAAAATCAAATTGACAAGCATATGTTGGCAAGATTTTAAACAAAACTGACAGGCTGGTGTTTTACATTTTGGATTGTGTGCATTGTGACAGCTACATAGTGAAAAATACACCTGATGATGGCCAGTTACGGCCGAAAGATGTAGGGTAGAGGAAGAAAATACAAAGAACTACAACCAAATATATTGTTGCATTCATGACGGCAGTTGTATGATTACATATAACACCACACAGTTTGACATCTGACCTTCATGTGGGAGGTTCCCATTTCAAATATTGGCTGGGACACTTTAACTATTCTGACATAGGTTTTCTTATGGTTTTGCACAACCTGCCATGCAGTTCTGGACTGAAGGAAATTGTATAAATCTCGAAGTCAATAGAAAGTCCGTCGAGTGTAACAATTTGTAGGTCACTTCTTTATCACTTCTGCCTTACATGTTTCGGTTTAACACAACCATCATCAGAGGCACATAGTACAATCATGAAAACACTGTCGTTGTTTAAGACGTACACAGTTATGTGTAAAAAAAAAATGAAACAATTAAAAAAATGTATAAATCTTGATATGGAGCCATTTTTGTTATGACCTAATGATAGCTATATGCTTTTAAACAAACAGTTTGTCAAATTCATGATATTAAAGATTATAGGAAATAATTTAAGGAGCTGAACACATCTCCAAATTTAATATTCATTGTCATTGAAGTACCCCATATGGAGGTGGGTTAGGATACCTCCACCATGGCCCTATGAGTCATGGAAGGCCACGGAAAGGGAACCTGGTGTCCAGAGGTATAACTGTGCCATCCTGTCAATGGGGGACATACCTGGTCCTCCAGGTTGGGGGTTGAGCACAAGGCTGATGACCTTGCTCTACGAATAAAAAAATATTGTTGCAAAATCAAAATAAGTGAAAACCAGATGGTATAATTTGAGACAAATCTGACACTCTCTTCTAAGGAAGGCTATGGCTGAAAAGGGACTGTTTTGCTGCCAATGATAATGGTCATTTACTCAGTTATCCCCCATATATGTTCCTGCTGCTGCACTGAATATTCCTGTCAAAGTTAATTCATAATCTTAACATAAGAACTTACTATGAAGTTTGACGTCTAAAATGAGGACTAGTAAAATGTACAGACCTCAAAAAAAGAAGAACTGGAGAAGATGATCACTCTACCATATGGATTTTGTTTGTTCATTTATGAGTCTACAAAGGATACATTTAATGGGATATATGTAAAGTATGAGGTGCTTGCTTACATGTTCCAGCAACTTTTCAGAAGAACTGTTGCAGAAACATAAAGAAGTGATGACAGACTTTGTGAGGCGGGACAAGAATAGACCTAGCGTTGTGATGTGGTCGCTTGCCAATGAACCAAGTTCTTTCAGAAATGAATCCAGAGAATATTTCAGGTGAGACTAAATATGAAATGTGAGATTTGATCACTCAAGAAATTCCCTGGCTTTTATGGAATCCACAGATATGTTTAAATGTTTTCAAATGTCTAAAAGTTTCATCTCCAGATGCAGTTTTCAATATTTTATGTATATTTCCTTTGCAGTCTTCGTAACTTCCACATAGAACGTGAAAAATACACATCAGTGCCTACTGTTTTCAATTCTGTGACACATGGTAGTGTAATTGGTTGAGGCACTGTGCTACAAGCCGGAAGGTTGCAAGTTCAATTCTCAATGAAGTCATTAGAATTTTCTGTTGACATAATCCTTCCAGCCACATTACAGCCCTGGGGTCAACTCAGCCTCTGACAGGAATGAATAAGAGTACTTTTCCTTGGGTAAAGGGTGGCTGGCATGTAGGGCTGACAACTTCCCAGTCATCTGTGAATCAACTGTCTAGAAAATGTGGGAGCCTTGACTCATAGGCACAGTGAAAGGCCAAAGGGCTACCTGTAAAAGTAAGTAAAGTAAAGTTGTCCCTGTACTTAACTAATGAAGCACTGTGCCATGAAGACATATATGGGAGTGGATGTATAGATCCATGCTTTCTTGACCTTGGTGCAAGTTGGAGGTGAGTGATCACCTTCATGCCCTGGCCACTTTACTTCTAGGGGAAGAACCCCTAGTACCCATTGTGAAGGAAGCTGGGTGGGCCCAAGAGCCGGTTTGGATGATGTGAATAAGATAAAATTCTTGACCCTGCCAGGACCCGAATTCTGAGCCCTCAGTCATCAAGCCTGTAGCCAGTTGCTCTACTGACTGTACTATCCCAGCTCCTAAATCTCTACCTGTGGGTCTGACATATTCATTTTCAGGTTGTTTTACCCCTTTTGGCACTTAAATATGATTCCAAGGCCATAAACTATGTCACTTATTGAAGGTCTCAAGCAGCTAACTTCTGCTGTCCAGGAAAAGGGAGTTGAAATCCCTTTGTGCTACAGACCTTACGGCTAGATTTTAACTCGGGAGTTTATGTTATTAGAATTGGAAAAATGCAATGCTTGGCCATCTGGACCACATGCATGCACTGTTACAGAAATATGATGTATTCCCCAATAAATGTCACCTCTTTGATGTGCTCTGTTTCTCTACAGTGAATTCAGTCCTAGAACATTCTGATGACACTAGTGACAAATGTGGGTGTGATACACAGAAATAAATCAAACTGTACTTCTAATATTTATATTTGTTATCTTTTGTATTTTGTTGGCATCTCAGTGCACTGGTGAATCTTACAAAATCCTTGGATCCAACTCGGCCAGTAACATTTGTAACCAGCCAGACAGTTGACGAGGATAAGGCTGTAAGTAGTGAATGAAATGAAAAATCTGATTACTACATTCAAAATACTTATGCAAGAACTGCAGACATAACTAGAAATGAACACTCATATGTCTGTACAAAAAGAAAGGTTCAGAAAAATACTGATGTGTCCACCATTTCCTCGTTATTACAACCACCAAATATTTAAAACACTACGATTGATTCTGAGAGAGACCAGAAGTGATAAGAATGATAAATGAGAAGAGAACTGTTTTCAGGGATATGATGCCATGTACTTTGGTACAAGTTTCCTGATATTTCAGAAGGAGTGGCAAGCTTGCTTGGCATAATCTTCAACTCTGAAGATGGAAACTGTACATTTCCCTTACACATTGGTACACTTGTACCACATTATACAGTGTGAATCCAAGAGAAATACTCTTCATATAGTCACCTCTGTGACAACCTCAAATCTAACAAAAAACAATGGTTTGTATGTAGTTTAAAACATTATACAGTGGAACCTCGCTTAATGAGCATAATTCGTTCCGGAATCTTACTCGTAATGCGAAACACTCGTTATGCGAAACAATTTTTCCCATACAAATTAATGTAAAATACGATAATGCGTTCCATGCTGAAAAAATACTCTAAACATTTTATACATAACGTTTATTCAAAGAAAATTATATATACATTGTTAAGGAACGTGATTCATCTTCATCTTTTCTTATATGCGGAATGAACCAACCTGGAATGTGAATTCTATTTGCAGAAAAAAAAATCGAAATAATTAGTTTATTATTTATGATTCATATCAAATTCTTTTTTTACTAGAAAGCTGTCTAGAGATTTGTTTTTGCTGATGCCTCAAAATTTGGTGAAAATGACACAGCATTATCATTAAATAAATTTGTAGCGCACATAGCCACTGCCTTATTAGGGTGATGCTTCTCAATGTACAATGCAACAGTTTCCCATGCTTTCAGCATTTCTCTTATTGCGCTAGAAGATTGTTGCTTTGCTGTTACCTCCTCCTCCTCCTCTGACAAACTCTCCTCCACAACTTCTTGCTGTGAAACACAGTGCAACTCAAAATCGTGCAAATCGTTGATGTAGACCGATTGTATGTGCATGCTAGATCAGCCACGTTCACACCTCATTCTCGCTTTTCAATGATTTTACTTTTAATTTCTACAGTTATTTTTATTTTCTTATGGCTGTCTTTTTGCGACTTTTTCTTCAGGGACATTTTTGCAAGGGTTATTAAACTTTGCACAAAAATCACAAATAATATGTCTGAACACAAGTTTTGAAAAATGTGTGATCACAAGCAACACCAAGATGTTAGCGGAACAAGTGCTAAACACAGACTGATGTAGCAAGTGCACAATCTGGTACTTCCCCTCTCGTCACTTGTTATGCGAAACATCGCTCATTAAGTGAGTCATTTTTTTTGCAATTTGTTTTGCTCGTTATACAAATACTCGTTAAGCGAGGAAGTCTGTTACACAAGGTAGAATGAGTTAACTTGTAACATTATGAACAGCATTTGCTCGTCTAGTTTGTTGTCTGAGAAAAGTCCCCAGTCATGACTTTTTGGTGAATATAACAATTTGTTTACTCTGCTGACAGCAGTGCTACACCTTATTACAAGGGTCATACCGAAAGTCACGAGCAACAGTTTTTTGTAAAGTGACATGCCTTATTATTGACAAACCAAATACACCACCTCAATCTACAGTCCTTTCTTTATTTTTCCACATAATCGCCACTTCTTTGTACACATTTCTTTCAGCGTTCTGGGAGTTTGAAAATTCCTCTTCTGTAAAATTCCGTTCCAGCCATCCAAAGGCACTGCTTTCTGAATTGCCTCCCTTGTCTCAAAACGTTGTCCACGCAGCTGATCCTTCACAAATCCAAAAAGATGGTAGTCAGAGGGTGCCAGATCAGGGTTATAGGAGGGGTGTGGAAGAACTTCCCACCCCATCTTTGCAATTGCTTCCGATGTGAGGCGAGTGGCATGGGGGCAAGCGTTGTCATGCAGGATGATGATGTTTCGTCCTTGACATTTATCACGCAATGCACGACGGAGCTTGTGCAGCGTCTGGACATAACGAGCGGCATTGATGGTTTACCCAGGTTCCAGGAATTCGGCCAGAATAAACCCCTCTGCATCCCAGAAGACTGTGCCCATCACCTTCACAGCTGATGGCACTGTCTTTGCCTTCTTTTTTGATGGAGAATGCAAATGGTGCCATTCCATACTCTGTCATTTCGTTTCAGGCTCGAAATGGTTAAATCAGCTTTCAGCACCTGTTACAATACAGAGAAAAAAATCGCCTTTGTGTCAATATCTCTGCAGCAGTTCTGAGGTGATGGCTTTTCGCTGACCTTTGTGGTCTTTGGTCAATAACTGCGGGACCCAACGAGCACAAACTTTCCTATAGCCCAAGCTTTCATTCATCTCCTGTACTGCACTGTGCCCTATTCCAAGTTTTCGGGCTATTGTGTCCACAGTCACACGCCTGTCATCTTGAATGATATCATCCACTCTTTCCTTGTTGTGTTCAGTTGAGGCTGTTCGAGCATGACTGCTCCAAGGCTCATCTTCGATGCTGGTGTTCCCATCTTTAAAATGTTTCACCCATCTTCAAACACTGCTCGCACCCATGCACACACTTCCATAAGCACGCTGAAGTCTCTGGTGAATTTCTGCAGCAGGGATTTCCTCTTTCACAAGAAATTCGATGACAGCACGCTGGCAAAACGACATATGGTTGTCGGCCATTTTGTTAGAAGTGATACTGGTCACGTGATGCAAGCTATTGATGTCACAAGACACTCAAGGTTAACACAACAGCTGGTTCCACCTACCACCATACTCTCTTTCGTCTGCTGTTCCCAGGTTGCATGCAAAAAAAAAGTTGCTCATGACTTTTGGTACGACCTATTATGGTGTCAAGCAGCAAATGTAACTTTTCAAACTTATGATATATAAGGTTACTTTTCTACAAGTGTTTATGTCATGTCTTAGCAAACCACTGATCAGTGATGTGGCTGTGTGGAAGGATCAATGATATACTAAGATGCATCAAAAATGCTCATGAAAAAGGAGACTTAGATGTATCAATATTGAACCTTGATGAAAACACAGGTAGTTGGACTAGAACTAATACACAATTTTGCTACACTCACAGCTAGGAAAGTGCACAAAATGTATTGCATCTTTCATGGTGTCGATGCATGAAACCCTCCCAAAGCACAAGGCCCTGGACTCCCCCCACTTATTCTACCTTAGAGATGGCTCTGCATATGTATCCTAACTTGTTCTTCTATATTGACAGGTGCAATTCATGGACATAATATGCATAAATCGGTATCCAGCATGGTACAGTGATTCTGGTCGAACAGATCTAATTCAGCTGCAAGTGAAGAATGAACTTGTTGCATGGCACCTCAAATTCAACAAGCCAGTGCTTGTTACAGAATATGGGGCTGGATCAGTGATTGGCATGCACACGGTTCGTTCATATGAACTCTCATTACACTTTCACAGGGTGTTCCATATAATTCACCTCTGATAACATTAGAGATTCATGAATGTGGGAGAACCTAGGCTCTCACCATAATTTAGAGTGTACATTCAACTGCAAGTCCCTTCTCTTGGCCTACATGGGAGTATTTCCTGAAGAATTTATCCACTGCCTGGATAAGAGAGATGTACAATATTTTGGATGCAGTCTATCCCAGATCTTACTGAGTAAGTATTTAAGACAGACAAAGAGCCAGTCTTCAAAGCGCTTCATATGTTTCTTATCCAGAGAATGTAGAAGATGCTCTCATTATGGTACTTAATCACTGCTGCAAACATTTAGAACTATATATAAATCACCATTTGTTTAACATTTATGTTCTACAAGAGGTTTCATGTCAAATTCTGTATGCATTCTATGTCTTCCTCCTCCTAGTCCTATATTCAGTCCATCATTGTCTTCTTAATTTCATTCTCTTATATAAATCAAAAAGTTTCTCGTAAATCACACTGTAGTCATTTTTCCAGCTTTAAATTTTAACTCTTAACATTTAGAATAATATTTTAACTTGTGTTTTATAAGAAGAGCTTGATATATTTGAGCGTAAGACTGAATAAGATACAGGGTGGAATAAGTGGAAAAACAAATGTGATTGCATGTAATTATACAGTTGTTCGTACACCTGATGATGACCTCTTGAGGTCGAAACATGTAGTGTGATAATAATAAAAACGTGTTGTATAGTCGGTAAAATTGACTCTAATATTCATTTTTCCAAATTGAAGGGGGGGGGGGTATGAAACCTTCTTATTCATACCAAGGGAGCGTCAAATTGGATGAGTCTGGGAATCACTGATGTAATATACACACCAATGTATATATTTGATGTGGCCGCACCATAGCTCAAGCAGTTAGTCGCTGGCTTCCCACTGTGGCGGCCCGGGTTCAATCCCGGGTCTGGTCAAGTGGCATTTGTGGTGGACAAAGTGCCACTGTGGCGGGTTTTCTCTGAGTACTTCGGTTTCCCCTGCCAATCACCCTCACCTATCATCTGGGGCTAGTACAATTGGCCAGAAGTGGCCACAGTGCAAGGGACTTAGTCCCACCTCACTAGCAATAAAAAAAATATATATATATTTGATGTAGGAAAGTAATTCTTTTCAGAGCTGGAAATGGGCTAACCTGGATAGATGCCATCCACTTAGTCAGAGAGTGCTTTTTATTATGAAGCCATTGACATTGTCTTAAGACATCAAAACTATTATGCACAACAATACATATAGGAATGAATTCCTAAACATGCATTAGAATAATTTCCTTCATAACATGTGCTGATCATTCCCTGGTCTCTTCTACTGATCTGCAGTGTCCATCTAGTTCTGAAGAGCCAGCACCATCCCCAGGTCTGTTTAAAAAAACAAATTTTTATCCACAGGCACCATCTTCCATGTGGACAGAAGACTATCAAGTGGTTACTTTGACAGAACACTTCAAGGCTTTTGATACTCTGTATAAAGAAGGTTTCCTCATAGGTGAAATGATTTGGAACTTCGCAGATTTTGCTACACCCCAAGGTGAAGTGACTATGTACATAACAGTGCTGTGTCAGATACAAGACATTCATGCATGAAGACTCACTTTTTTTACACAAAAAAAAACTTTGGTAAAAAAGGTAAAGTTGTCCCTGTGCTTAACCAATTAAGTACTAGGCCATGAAGGAATATGGGGGAGTGGATGTACACACCCACATTTTCTTGACCTCATCACTAGTTGGAGGTGAGTGGCCAGCTTCAAGGCCTGGCCTTTTTATGCTCAGGGAAAGATCTTCTGTTATCCAAGGGGTAGGAGGCTGGGTGGACCCTGGAGCTTGTTTGGATGGTGTGGAGAAGAGAGGATTCTTGACCCTATTGGGACTCAGAACTCTGACCCCTCAGTCATCCAGCCCATAGCCAGTCGCTATACCAACTATGCTAACTTCAGTAACTGCAAACAGCTGAGCATTAAAGAACTACATACATACAGAAAAGTTTCCCCTGTACATGCCATATAGACATATGGGGGTGTGAAGGTATAGCTCCATTCATTCTTGACCTTGGTACTAGAGGGAAGTAAGTGGTCCCTGACACACACTAGACGCAAAGCTAGTGGACACCAAGGGCAAATGTGGATGTGGCCGAAGAGGGAAATCCATGCCTCTGCAGGGAACACAAATTTATGTCTATATAGAGCACCTGGAGACTGGGGCATCATGCATTTCCTTGATGTATATTGAGACAAAATTATCCTTGATAAATTTTCAGCTGACACATAATATTCTTGGAAAATGTGATCCACATTGAATTCATATTTCCTACAAAAATTATGCAGTGATCAAAATTTTATTAGGAAATATTTTCTTCTTGATGTTTGCAAAGGAATTGAGTGGAGGAGTCTGCAGACATGAATTTCCAGACACTGTATACCTATAGTCTCATTTAATGACCCATTGTCAATACATAGTTCATATAGCACAAAATGACAGGGTACAATGTCTCAGATATTCCCTGTAAAAGACACACCATTTCAAAATACATGCTTATATGACTTATGTGATACATCTGTTTGCTTACATTCATTTGAATTTCACATTGACATATTTTCAGTTTGTTTCTACAGAATATATTCGTCCTGGAGGGTGCAAGAAAGGTCTGTTTACTCGGGAACGACAACCAAAAATGGCAGCCCATATCACCCGTTGGCGCTACTGGACACTTGCACATAGCTCTGTCAATGTAACTGTACCAAATGATTTGCTGTTTGCAGGTCCCTAATACAGATAGAAGTACTGTCTTTTTCTTCATGCAATATATCAGTGTAATTCAATCCAAATGAAGGTTCATAATGTAGATATGAATGCCAATTTTTGTGTCATGTATCAGTGTAATTCAATCAAAATGCAGATCAATAATGTATGAGGGTAAGTCAATATGTCAGTTACAAATGGATATAGAACTTAAACAAATAAGAGTACTGATTTGAAAAATGCTCTTATTTCTCAACATAATCTCCCTGTACATTGAGCCACGTGTCCCTCATTTCACAAGCCCCTGAAAACCAGCAGCATAAAATTATTTGGGCTGCTGTCGGAACCAGGCGGTGACTACCCTATCTACGGCTGCATCATCGGGAAAATGTTCAGCTGAAAGATGATGTTTAAGAGGGCCAAACAAATGGAAGTCGCTTGGAGCAAGGTCGGGGCTATACGGAAGATGCTCAAGGACTTCCCACTTGAAATTTTGCAGCGTCTCATTTGTCTTGTTGGCAGTATGGGGACGCGCGTTGTCTTGCAAGAGCATGAGGTGAGGAGTCCTGGATGCTTCCGTTGAATGGCCTTATGAAGTTTCCTGAGGATGTTACAGTAGGAGTCGGCATTTACTGTTTGTCCTTGAGGCTGGAATGCGGTGAGCAGTATGCCTTCATGATCCCAGTCACCGCCTGGTTCTGACAGCAGCCCAAAGAATTTTATGCTGCTGGTTTTCAGGGGCTTGTGAAACGATGGGATAAGTGCCTCAATGTACAGGGAGATTATGTTGAGAAATAAAAGCATTTTTCAAATCAGTACTCTTATTTGTTTATGTTCTATATCCATTTGTAACTTACTTATTGACTTACCTACGTAGATACAAGTGTCATCTGTTTCTCCATGTCGTATGCCAGTGTATGATGTATGTAACTCAATGAAAACACATTCAAAACAACTACTTCTGCCAGATAATCTACGAGGGTACAGAATGTATAACATCCTGTTTCAAAATGCATTAAATATTATTAATACAAAAAAATTTGTTTATTACTGCTGATTTTGTTAGCAGACCCATTCTTAACCTTCCCATGAGACAACTCACTTAAAAGCATTGGCTTTTTTAGGCCAGGCAACTCCCAAATACAAGTCAGAAGTATTGCATACTGAGTCATCTTGTTTGGTGTCTAGTAATGGGGTTGGTACCTTCCAACCTCTGGACAAGCTATTGCTTCTGGTATAACATTTACTCTGGCCCTGATCTCACATTTATACCACAATGGAAAAAGTGGGAAAGAGACCACTTCCTATAATTGGCAGTCCAGTACTGACTGAAGGGATGACATGATTCAGGGCAGAAATGATGATGGAGATACCAAAACCAACCATCTTGGCATTCAAAGGCATTGTTCTCAATCTCCGGTCCGGAGATAGGGGCTAGCTCTATCTATTGGACCCTACTGAGTAGGTTTTATCTGAGAATGGGGACAGAATCCAGTCTCCGAAACGTTGTGTTTTAAAAAAGAAACAGGACGGTATTTTAAAAACTGACAAGCTATCCAAAAACATAGTACTTGTATTAGTAGTATTATGCAACAACAATGACAGGGTTCTTACATTTAACTGTTGAAGATTTACAGCTAGGATCTTGGAAGAGAATATAAAACTTATTAAAAGATAAAATGTTAACTCCCCATAAACAAAATCTATAGTGTATTTGTAACTTTAACATAATTACAGTAAATTAAGTTTTCTTTCATAGAAAGGGTATTGTACAATCCTCACTAATCCTTTCTGCAGAATTAAATAAACCCTAATTCAGTCCATGTATGTATGAGTAAATTAAACATCAGCCAACCACATGAAGTTCCTATATGAGCACTATAATAATCAGGTTTTCTTTTTTGAAATCATATATTCAGTTGTATACAAAATTCTGTGAATCCCAAACACACTTCAGGTCATAAAGCTATCAATAAATACAAAATAAATGTATTATATTGCACATTTATTTACATGATAACAATGGAAACAAAAATAACAACAGTCAACTACCAAATATATGTTACAGTAATATATAATCTGCTCTACATACACACAGTAAGATACAAAGTATGTCTGCTGGCTGCAGTCAAGTCAGAAGAGGTGGCTGCATAGTAGCATATAATTAATTAGGTGTTAAGTTGCATAGCAACATATCCTGACCAATTCTTTCTGCTTGTCTCCAGCCTTCCTGCAGGGACCTGGCTAGTGACATCCTTCTTGTACCAGATTCAGTTTGCTGTCCTGAGAACATCACCATAATCCAAACATTTGAAGCATGTTCCTTTCTTGTTAGCTTATTTTCCTAAGGAAAAAAGTAAGCTTGTAAGATCATCACACTATGCCATCTTTTGAAGCAGCTGAGTCATTTTCATGAAACTTGGTGTAAATGTTATGCCATCTGAGGCCACAAGAGTGCTGTATTTTTTAATTTTCTACAGACAATTGTAACAACATGGTGGACACGAGGATTTATTTATTTAATTATGCTCCCGGTAGCTAAGGCTATAAGTACTGAATGATATGGTTAATGAACTGGAAAAGAGGAAGGAAGTGGTCACAGCCTGTATCACAGTACTATCTCAAAATTAAACTGGAGGGGTTCAGGAAAACCACAAGAAACCTCAAGTCACCATAACCAGTGCCCCAGCATGTCTTGAACACAAGCCTGCAGTGTTATCTCATGAGTCAACATGCTTGGTCACATGAACTAGGAGCGAACAGCAATAAGAAAATATGCAACTCTGATAAAAGATAACTTTATGTAGAATGAAAAGTGATGACATGACAGACATGCAAACATTTTTTTTAGCTTTTGGTTTGATGGCAATGACAAATGAACCACTGGATCTTGGGATGTGAAACTTAGTATTGAGATGACCACACACATATCTATACACTGTGTATAAATCGTTTTTATCCGCAACAGCAGCATGTGTGAAGATTGAGTTAATATCATACATTTCAGAGCAAGCCCTTGCCTCTGTCATCTGTGTCTGATGTCATCCTCTGATGATAGAGGCACAGTCAGACTCTGAAACACTGGCTACTGTGTCTCTACACAGCTGACTGCTTGAGAAGATTCTGCTGCATTTTGTCACTGTGAAAGCTTCAAATGTGATATAGATTGGAGTGTGTTGCAATGACTTGTGGGAAGAAGGAGCCAGACAGCCAGAGTCTGACAGGTTTACAGTCCCCTGCTGGTGATCCTCTGATCCCTTATTAAAGAGCATCACAGTGGGAACAGTAAGAATCACCAATGGTATGATATATGGTAAGACACTTAGCTAAAAATTACATAATATATTTCTGAGTATTCTACCACTCTGTAGCTTGCCATATAATGTCATGTTGGATGCTTAGTATCATTTTCTCATTCAGTTTCATACAAAGAATTTAAATTTGATGCCAAATTCATTAGCAGCACTTTTACTTTGATTCATATTTCATGATATTACAATTTTAGTTTGTAAAAGAGATAGAATAAATAGATGTCTTGCTTAAACAACACAGCACATAAATGTATCCAAGATCTCTTGGCAAATTGATTGATTTTTAAAGCTTCAAAAGTTCGTTTGTGGAACACATAGTGGACCAGTACACTACAGAGTTCACATATTTTACATATAACAAGAATGGCTCAGTCATGGAACTTGCATTGCCATAGTTGGACATGAAAACTTTACTTATTTGACCATATGAATGAAAACATAATTATTTCATTTCAGATTTGTTATTCTCTTGGCAATAACTATGGAGAGTACTATCATCATGGATGTGACACCATGTAGTCTGGTAAAAGTTTACCAATATTTCAGAACACTGTTTCCATCTTACGGGCACAGAGTATAATGAGCAAGCAAGGAAGCAGCAAGCAGAACTGCCCTGAAGATGGAAGGACTATATTTTTCCTAAATGTCAGTACAATCCACCAGACTACATGGCATCACATCCCAGAATACAGTATCGTTCATAATTATTTTATTCTGACCTTTCAGAGCAGAATTATTGCTATATGTATGACCTGATTTCACATGAAAGAATTCTGAATTCTGCCCACAGAGTGTATCCATGTGTTTTTCATAATTCTCATGAAAAACAGGAACTACTTCCCATGCAATGTGCTCTCTGTGAGGTAGGAAATGAGCTTTAAATATTATTTGGATGAATTTCTGATCTCAGAAGATTAAAAAATAAATCTCATGACCATACATTTCTGTCCTGCAATAAATTTGCAACCAATATGACATGTAGCAGACAGCCTCTAAACTAGCAGCCGTTCAGTGTAAGCTGCTATGGATGGACAGGTTGGGCTTCTATGGCACAAGGGCAGATGGCTTAGGTAGGGCACACAGTGACTGTGATGGCTTGTTCATATTTGAATACAATCTAATGAATCAATTTCAGATAAAATGACTGATTTTATGGTAGGTAAAAATGAGACTGATGCCTGCTGTAACACTCAACTTGGTAATCTCTTGCTTTCTTTCTTATGGGTTACTTTACTAATACAACACTGTCATTATTTAGACCATACAGTGCCAAATGGTAGTGCAACTGATGAATTGAAAAGGACTTGGTAAGAAGCAGTCATGGCCTAATTGAGGAAATATCTCATCATTTACCTGGAGGGACTGAGAAAACTCATGAGAAACCTGAGTCAGGATAATTGGCGTCCCAGCGAGATTTTAAGCTGACAATCTCCCAAGAGTCCACAGCATTATGAATCCACTCACTGCTTTCAACTTAAATACACAAATGTTAAGTTATTAAATATATATTACATAATACTATATATAATAGCACTTGTAGTAACAAGCATTTCCCAGCATCTGCTTTATAATCAGATGTACTGAACATAATCACATGCCATATTTATCAAAATTAGGCTTTGGACTTTCTTGTGACTGAGGGATCAGAGTACAGAATAACGTGAGGTTCTCACAGCATGACTATAAAAACTATGTTCTCCTTGGAGGTTATGTCACATAGTCTGGTAAACAGTTACTAACATTTTGGAGGAGTCTGATGCCTTCATCTTCTGACATATGGACGGAGGACCAGAACTAGGGCTGTCATTGGATAAAAAGGAGATTGTGGCACTAAGAAATGATGATGGTGATTCTACCCTATATCACTTTTCTTCACCATCCAATTACTCTTCTTCTATGCTAAAGACAGAGCCAGCAACCTCCTCT